GAACATCTCTTAGGATCATCAGACCCCAAGTGCAAAGCATCAGGCATGTCCAATTGGATAGGAGATGAGATTAAGAGCTTAGCTGGGCTAAGTAGTGCCTGGCATTTCCTGGCACTTTGGGGCGCCAACAGCTGCTCCATTGTGCACTTACACACAGAAAATTGAAAGAGAAGCAGGGATGGGAAGCCCACCATGACCATACACATCCTGTGGTTGCAGTGGCTGCTGCCACCAGTCTGGGGCATTTTACAGGCTTACAACTTCCATCTGTTTTGAACAGAGAGTAAAGCTGGTACCTGGAGAAAATGGAGCTAACGGGGCAGTGTATCAATGTGGAATAATAAACCCACAAAATTACCACGGCCCATGGTGAGCCTATATCCATGTCCTAATTCCTGGCCAGGTAAGAATCCCCTTGAGATAGCCCAGAGGACAGTGAGTACGTGAAACCTGACACACTGGGTACCGAAGAGGAAACCAAATCCAAGGCTTGAGCAGATGGTTGTTGCTGCAGGTGAGAGCCAGTGTCTCGCTGGAACGGAGCTTCCTCACGTTACAGGCCACGCTGAGACAACAGTCCTAGCATGATGCCCTGGTTGGGGTCGTAAATGTTGCAGAGAAGCAGTTCAATCCCACACACAGGTTTCTGATAATGAATTAAAAACCAGGGCTAAGCTGGGGGGAAGCCAGGCGAGGTTTGGAGCTCCCCCTGACCCCCCAGGCCAGGCCCTCCCCTGAGCCCTCAGGGACGGCGGCGCCAAGGAAGGGAAATGCTGGCAGCATTTTCTTCAATTTGGCGTTTCTAACTGTCCATATTCTGAAATGTTCAACATAATTGTGTTTTCTCCCTGAAATAGCAGGAGAGCTGCAACACTTACATCTTTGCTTTGTGAAAAAAACCCCTGATTGTTTCACACTCAGCCTGCCTCGATGCAGGATGGATTACGGGCGCAGCTGCCTTCCCGGATTTTCACCCCTGCCAGTTACAAAGAACAGTGACTAGAATTTGAAACTAAAGTGTAATTATTTCTCTCTCCAAGCCGGAGAACATGGAAACAATCAGCTCCAGCGGCTCTGCCAGGGCCTGGCAGGAGCCCGGCAGCACAGCCCAGCAAAAGCCTCTTCCGACCGCGTCTCTCTCAGAGCAGGGCCCGAAGGCAGCCGGGGAGACCCGGGAGACCCCCCGCCACCCCCCGGCCACACTCCCAGCCCTGTCCCCTCCCCTCGGCCGGGCCCTTCAGGCCCCTCGCCCTCAGCAAAGATGTCAGCTGCGCCCGGGAACCCTCCACTGTTCCCTCAGTAAAGACGGCGGCTTAACATCGTCGCCAGTCCTGCTTTGCAAAAGATGGCGGCTGGCGGACGCCTCCGTGGCTTCCCTCACTCAAGATGGCGCCCGACGGCTTGCTCTCCCTTTGCCCAGCTGGCAGTCGCCATGTCCCCCGCCCCGCTCTGCCCTCAACCGACATGGCGCCTGCCCGCCCAACGTCGGCCGCCGCCCGCAGCAAACATGGCGGCTTCCCTTCAGTTTCTATTGCGCCCGCCCCGTACGCTCCTCCCTTTTGGCTTCAGCGGCTTCACCTCCGTCGACGCAAAGATGGCGGAAGCGATTGCGGCCGTTTGAATTCCAGCGAAGCCGCCAAAGCCGCGCACAAAGGAGCCGGGGCTCCCATCGCCGGCGGGACGCGCGGGCCGGCGCCGCCATGGACTCGCTGCCGGGGGATGACCTGACGCTGCCGGTGGCGTTTGAGGGCAGGTAGGCAAGGCGGCGTCCCGGGGCGAGGAATGGGGCGCCGGGCTGGGGCGCCGAGCCCGCCGCCCCCCTCCCCTCCGGTGCGTGTGTCGGGGCCGGGCCTGCCGGCCCCGTTCGGGGGGACGGGACCCCCTGGGCTTTCGGCTCCTCAGCCGTGTCCTCCTCCTTCCTCAGCATCTCCCAGCCGCCAGACGTCTCCCGCGGGGATCCCCAGCCCGGCCCGGCCGGCAGCGAAGGTAAGGCCGGATGGCGGGAAGGAGCCCCCCGTGAGGCGCAGGGGGCGCCCGGCTCTGTGCGCCCTGCGGGTCTGGGAACCTGAGGGGAAAAACCTCATGCCTGAGGAGAACAGGCACAAATAACTTTAAGCGATGCAGCTTTTTTGTAAGTTGCGTCTTTTTAAGACTGTAAAACCGCCAGCAGCCGCCGCAGTTAGTGCTGTCAGCTCTCTTGCCTGTGGTCATCAGGGCTCTGAGCCTTACATAAGGTGATCAGCGGTTTTGTGGGGCGTGTACTTAAAACACTTAAAGTATCCAGCAAGGCAGCATTACTGTTTCATATTCTGCGTGGTTTTAGGGAAGTTGCATGCTGTGTATCATTAGGTTTCTCAGTATGACTGTGCAGTTGCATCCTCCCCGAAGACGCACTCTGGAGAAGTATCTTAGCTTTTATCTAGTTGTGCATTAAGAAGCCTTCTGTCTAGTTCCTGTTGAACAGAAGCTGTAATTCAGTACGTTTTTGAATGATGGCCACGATGACCATGTAACTGAGTTCGTGGCTCATTACCACATAACAATGTTCATCTTCATGTGTGGGATACTTGCTTGAAAAACTTACTTTAAAGTAAAATAGCTAAATGGTATTATTTTGAAACCCACCTATGTAAATTCGGGGTGTATGTCTTTGATTTCTCCTTATTTGTGCATGTATCCAGCCACAAAACTTGGCTGACTTCATTGTGTAGATGAAGTATGTAATTGAAACTTAGACAAATTAGATGGTTTACCAGAAAGATCTATTCGCTCATGAAAGGGAGCGCATGTAAGAAACATACCAAAGCTGTGAAATAATGTTATTGTATTCTGCATGTGCTGTAGGAAGGCTCTCTTGTGAAATTGACTAGAACGTCAAGATTTAAAAACAGCTGGCTGGTATTTTTTGGGTTATTTTCAAGACTGCTCTATGTAACAATTTTGGAAGTACTTGAAATGAAATATTTTCTTCTAGATACTATGAGAGTCTGTTTGAGTCCTCAGCTTCCTCTTCTTTGTATAAAACGTGTAGCACTTACATCATCTTAAATATTTCTATTAAAATTTGTAAGACTAAACTTTTAATCAGAATAATGAGATTATAAGTTCTGCAGACCTGCTCAAATGTGGTTGTTACAGAATGTGTGTGCAAACAATTTCACGTACATGTACATTCAGCGGGGATTACGTTTTAGGAACCTAGAAACTGGCCATTTCCTCTGTCTGTGGCTTCCCTGAGTCTAAGTTGGAGGCCTGACATGTGACCAGTAAGATACTGAAAGATTTGAATTGCTTTCCAGTAGTTTAGTAGGACTTAATTCAAACATAGGAGTCCCTTGCAGTTGCTCTGAGGACTTATTCTTGAAAGTGCACCTTGCATGGCTTAATTTCAGTGTACATCTTGGTTTAAATGCATGATGTTGGAATTTGGGAGCTTAAGTGATAGAGAGCTTATAGTGATCAGAAAGAGATCTAGGTGCTAACTACTTGGTAGCATTAACATGTAATGTAAACAAGGGGCAAAAAAATGCCTCCCTCACTTCCCAAAAGGAGGTGTACTTTATTATGTTTAGATTAGTGAAGGCCTTTGCTGTTATCAAATAGAAGCCTGTTTTAGGGATTCTGCTGTCTGAACTTGTTCTGTCTTCTTAAATGTCTAGTGTTACCAGATGTGACAGAAGATACAGTCTCACCGACGAGAGCTCGGACCATGAAGGACTATGAAAATGTAAGCAGACTTTTAATATAAGACTTGGTGACAGATTTATGGCCAAGTTATTTCTAACAGGCTGGCTGAAGTGTGGACTCTCCCAGTCAGTTTCTTTGGTTGTGTCAGTCAACAAAGATCTGTTGGAGATGTGACCAGCTGTTTTTCTGTGCTTTGAACCTCCATTTCTTAAGTATTGTGCTCAAGAAGTGAGGCAAAACTTTGTTGTTGAGACTAGCCAACTGCTGCTCTGAAGTTACGAAACCAAAATTGGCACCCTCTCCTCAAGAGTTCATGTCATCACCAGAAACGTAACGACTGGGATTGCATGTCTGCAATTGATTTATTTCATGGAAGCATCATGTTTATTTTTGTTGAGACTAGTGCAGGATTTGACTCTTTAATTCATTGATTGCTGTATAATACCTTTTACCTTTATAATTATGTATGAGTGTGCTTGGAATACTTTTGTTGTAAAGGTCTAGTGTCGTTGTGACAATTCTGTAGATAAAGCTGGTTTTGGCACTTAATAGACTATAAAGGAAAACATTAGGTTGTTTTTTTTTTTAATGTATTCATTGTCTGGGTTATTTTAATTGAATAAGCCAATTATTTTTTACTGCTGAATGATGATTTGGTTGGAGTACAGCTGTGTTGCAGGACAACTTCCCTGTTGAAAGTTTTAAATTGTGTAACTTCTTAAGATTGTGTGAAGAAGCATCTCGGAGGTGGCTGCTACAGATGAAGGCTGTGGTTTGCTCTCCTCAGGATGCATTTGTGTGTCTGTGGTTTTCAGTGCCTTCTGCAACTGCTGTTACCTGTTGTAGCATTGTTATGTTTGAAATGAGTGTTCCTTCTGAGCTCTTTCAGTTTCTTGTGGCTTTATGTCCCTCTGAGGAGAAAGCTGTGCTCTTTGCTCGGAATTCAAAGCTTGCTTTGGAAAGCCTTGGTGAAGGATGTTTTTTACAGTCTGTAGCTATTTCACTTTCTCTTTTGTTTTTGTGTGTTGGCTGGGGTAAAAAGACATTGCCTTGGCATTAGTAGGTGCTTAAAGTCTTTTACTGTGAGATGTGCCAAAGACCTCAGTCTAGAATAAACATTCTGCAAGTGTTTTATTATAGTCAGTGTTCATTTTTACAGGGGAAAAAGTTTTAGAAGGAAGGAGAAATCTGTTGTTGTTTGTTCTTGTAGGAGGAGAAATCTATTGTTGTTGTGTGATGTAGAGGAGAAGGGGTCTCCCCACAGAGCTCTGGCTCCCTGGTACATCCAGACCCCTTACGTTAAATAGAGCTGTAAAACTTCTCTTAGGCTTTTTTTGATGCCAACAGTATAATGAAGCTCAAAAATCCATTCAAGTAAAGGAAGAACACACTTAAACACAGAGGTAGTTCTGTAACTTCTGTTTTTGAGTCTTTAAGACTGCTGATAGCTGGAAGGCTAAACTTGATAAAGGGAGGATTTACCTTTGTTCTGTTTACCAAGTGTCCAGTAGTTGCTGCCTTTAAATGCATTTCTGGACAGACATTGTAAGGCTGTTCTTAGCCCACTTTAAAACAAATCCGAATTAGCAGGTAAGGGATATCTCCTGCTTGGAGATGGTTTGTGTATGTGTATATTACTGCATGAACTTGCTGATCTTTGAGCAATGTTATTTATGCAAGATATGAGAAGGCAGTAAGGAAAAGAGTGGCTCCTTGCCTTGCAGCTCACAGAGAACAGGGTGGATGTAACGACCCTTGAATAGGCTAAAAGATGGATCCATGTAGAGAGGGTCCTTTTATGTTTAGATCTGGAGAAGATACTGAGTTATAAATAATCTAGACTTCTAATATTGTCTTTTTTTTTTTTTTTTTTGAGTATTTATGGTGTGTCCCACTTTCTTGTAACGTGGGTAGGAACCACCTTGCAATAGAAAATATGATTATATGGGCAAAGTGAAAAGGCATCTTTAACTGAGGACCTTGTTATGGTTTATTAGATGTTCATGAATAGAAAGGATGATTGGTATTGAGTTAGGGAACTAAGTAATAATACTTGTGGGTATTTTCTTGTCTCCTCTAACCTACTTAGAGTTTTGCTGTCTTGTAAAAAGGCCTCTGCTGGCAAAAACTGTTGTGCTGTGAAACCACAGCCTCTGCTGACAGATGCAATTTTGCATAAAAGTGGCTCTGTGCCGGCTTGGAAAGGAGCTAAACTGAGGTAGGCAAGTGGTATTTGCTACCATGCTGGCTGTGGTGTATAGAGTGTATTGCAGTGTCCTGGTTTTTCAAGAGGTGTCTGCAATTTCTCTTCTTTCATTTCTTTTTTAAATACAGAAATCAAAACACATAAAGGAATTAAGACCCAGTCTTTAAATGCATAAATTGAGAGGATTGCCATTAAAATCCATTTCCAATGTGAACTTGTCCGCATTTTACATGTTGTCTTTTATTAAGCTATAACTTTTTAATTGTAGTCTGCCTGAATTAACTTTCCTCTGAGAAACTGAATGTCAGAGACATTTGTTTCACTTCTTGGTTTATGATTGTGTAGTCTATTTTTTTTGCCTTTTGAAAATAGTACCCTTAAGCTCTTTGATTTAATTCTATTGCCACTGACATCCATGTGAGCAGAATTAAGGGATGCTGAGTTCTTTGGAAATTGTTTTTCCCTTTCAACTCAGAAACGTAATGAATGTCAGAGAGTCTTTGGCACTTGGACTTTTTCTGAATGAACAGAGACTGGCTGTTAGGAATCATCTGTTGACAGCTTAAAAAAAACCCCAGCAGCCAACCCCAAAAACAACAAACCAAATGCTATGAGGTCTGCTCTCACTACTTGCTGAACTGATCCAGCAAGACATGCAGGATCTAGGCCAGTGCTGCAGCCTTGCTTCATTTAAGAAATCTTTAATTTCTTTGCTTATTCCAAATAAGGATTTTGGTTTTGGTGAATGTTCTGTATTGGGTTCTGTGACTTGAAGTACAAAGTTGCATTGTTTTCTTGCTTACATCTCTCTGAATGTTCTGAAAGAGTTTTTCCAGTTATTTAGGGCACCTCATGAGTATCACAAGGTATCACGCTTTCAGCAGCTGCAACTGCATAGTTCAAGTTTATATCCACTGCTGTTTGTGATCATCCAATTGCAATTGTCAGGAAACAAAGATAAGTTAAATATATGTATTGCTGCTGTTTCTAAAGACAGACTTCGGCAGGATGTGTGAATGGGCCACAAAGTTTGTGTTGTCAAGTGTGTTTTCAATTGCTTGTGTGGTATTTACTTGGGTGAATAATGATGAGGCATCTTGCTGGGCAAAGATTATTAAACTGAAGAATTGTTTGCAGATGCAGGTTCTGAGTGCAGTTACAGAAAATAATCTTAGGTTTCACAAGCCAAATATTTTAAGAATTGTATTGCTAATAATTTTTACAAGTGGTACTATACTGTTCTGGAAAAGCCTACATAAATATTTTATTAGTAGCTCTGTAGCATATTAGATTTCCTTTGCTGAAAGCATCTGGCAGGGGACACAAGTCTTATTTGAATGAATGTTTTATGGTTAGTCTCTTAAAAGAAATTTAGGGGGAGACTCCTTTCTTTAATGAAGCCATCAACTATGTTATTGCTTCTACTAGGAAGGTTAAAAATGATAAGCCATTTTTTCCCAAAGAATTGCTCTCTGAAACATGGGATGGGATAAAGGTTTTATTGATATTCCATTTTGCTCACATGCCTTGTGTACTTTTCGCCTTTCTCACCACGAGTAAGGCCCCCATCCCAAGCTTTTACCAAGAAAATACTTCTGCTTATTATTTTTAGATTTTAAAAAACTCTCTTGGATTCCTTTTGTGTAAATGTTTTAGTACTTCAGACAATGTTTTAGTACTTCAGGAACATTCTATAGAACACTACCTGCACAACAGCATGTGTTAGATAATAATTACAAAATAATATTGTTTGAAATTATTTGCTTAAGTGATAGTGTCTGAGTTTTGCAGGGCTAAAAATAAATGCATGCTAAATGATAAGATCTTACACAAACACACAGAGTTTGTGTGTGCCAGTGTGCTTATATACCTTTCAAAACAAAAAAAAACCTCCAAAACCCAAGCAAACCCCCCAAAAGTTCAGAAGGGGTAGGCTAGAGTAGGATTTCTTCTTGTGGGGGGGGAGAGGGAAGTTGGGTCCCACCATCCCAGCCATAAGTATATTCTGTGATGTGTGCTGAAGCTGGAGAAGATAAAAACCTCTTGAAAGTGTTTGAGTATTTCTATCTCCCTGGGTGACACTCTCTTGGAAGGATGTTTCATTTTGACTTGTGTGTCATAAGCTGTTATTGATAGCTTCAGAATTTTAATATATATGTGTGTATATATATATATATAGTTACATATTTAGCCATCTCCAGGGAGTTGAATTCTGATTACATGTTTAGCCATCTCCAGGGAGTTGAATTCTGATCTTACTGTTATTGATAGCTTCAGAATTTTAATATATATGTGTGTATATATATATATATAGGCTGTTATTGATAGCTTCAGAATTATAATATATATATGTGTGTGTGTGTATATATATATATAGTTACATGTTTAGCCATCTCCAGGGAGTTGAATTCTGATCTTGCACCATGGAGAGCAAAACCAAATGGTAGTTGTTTTCACTCTTTGTTTTACTTGGTTTGAAACACATGACATAATTTCTCTGTCTCATTTCACAGCAAATCACTGATCTGAAAAAAGAGAACTTCAACCTGAAGCTTCGTATCTACTTTCTGGAGGAGCGAATGCAGCAGAAGTTTGATGGTCCCACTGAAGAAATATACAAAATTGTATGCATTTAGAATGATCTAAGGGAATTTTAGATCTTTTTGAAGAGTTTGTTCTGTGGGAAGGTTACCCATTTTAGCTTCTAGTTTTATGGCTCTAAATTGAAAGAATGCATATGAGCTGATTGGTTGTCTGCACTGGTAGACAGACTTGTCATTGCTGATGTATTAAAATGGTATCTGTCAACTTGCAGGCCAAGTAGTTCTCTGTACCATGTGCACTTATGTCATGAGTAGTTTTCTTAGGCGATAAGAAAATAGTGTTAAGTTTATTAAAAACCTCGATAGTTGATACAATCAGGTTTTTAAAAGAAAATGAGAAGAAAATGTCTCATGGGTCAAAGGAAAACCGTGCATGGAAGCCCTAGAAGCTCTCAAGTTGATCTGCACTACTCCCCATTGTAGGAGTTAAGTGTGTGTAGGGAATTTGTATTGCTTGAATACAATGGTCTTAAACACTTTTTGAGACTTCTGAGGTCTTGAACCTTGCAAAATATGCCCTTTAAAATGTCTCTATGCTATTCTTAGCCCAATGATGCTTTATATTTGCTGGTCAAAAAAAAAATAGCCTACAGATTGCCAACAACTTTTGGGTAGGGTGACCTCTGACTTCGCTCCAGACACTTTCATTCTTTTGTCCTAGAACATTGAGCTGAAAGTGGAGATAGAAAGCTTGAAGCGCAATCTGCAGGAGAGAGAGAAACTACTCATCAAAGCCTCGTAAGTACCAGTATATTTCTTGATGTCTGTGACTTAGAATTTCCAAGATCTTGCTTCTGTTGGTTTTTTTTTATTCCTGATGTTCTAGGAATATGAGGGTCCCAAATAGTATTTTAAGGGCACTTATCTAGAAATTGCTTTATTCACTACAGAAGTTACATTTGTGAATTCTTAAAGGCACAGTGATGTTAATGTAGTTACACAGGACAGTCCGAGTTTCATTATATCCTCCATTCTATTGTATTTTTCAGGGATGCAAATGACTCCCTAGTTGGGAATGGCTCAGTGTTCCTATTGTAGACATTAGGCTAAGAGCTTAATTGTCTCAACAGGTGAAGAAGTGGACTTTTTTTTTATTACAGTACTAGATTGAGAAGACATTACACAAAACTCTTCTCAGTAAGGCTGAGAGAGCAGTTCAGAACTAATCTAGAATGAATCTTGTGATTTCTAATGATATAAAACTGAATATGCTTAAAATTCCTGCTTTTCTGTTAGAACCTCTTGTCTAAATAAATATTACTTATTTAAAAATGACATAGTGCTGCTTTGTCTTAGGGTATGACAAGGTAGAATATGCTTTGGGGAGGGAATAGATGACTGTAGGGCTGACAACAGCCTGTTAAATCGCTTCCTTCTAGATGTCTGGTTCCAAACTAATCCAGGCTTGTAATGACTGACAGCTACTCACTACTACCTGGGCCTCAGTTTCAGTGGAGTTTTTTTTTTTGTGTTGCCTACCTCCCGTGGCATTGGATTGTTACCAGTTGGCCTTCTTACAGTAGTTGAGAGAGGCCTAATTTCAGGTAGATCCTGAGGACCAGATGAATCTTTGTTTGGTCTCTCTAGATGGCTGTCAGAGGTATTGCTGGGCTTTGAATGGAACCTTGCACAAGTTCATAATGGGAAGCAAAATTTAGGGGGAAATCATAAACAAGTCATCCTTCGTTCAGTAAGGAAACACTGGCTGTTTTTTTTCCTACAAGGTATTAACAATTACTGAAAAAGTAATTGGAGAAGCCTCAGCAGCTCCATATCTTCAGTTTAATCCAGTGCTGCTTTTTGTAGAAAATATAGCTCTACCAAAGGCTTGGTGCTGCATTTTTGAAGCTTTAAGAATATGAAGGAAATATTACACTTACTCATCATACGTGTAAAGTGCTTGTATGCACTGAGACAAGGCTTGTGTGTGGAACTCTCAGACCATATCACCAAAATTGCTATAGGGTGTATAGATGTCTGTATTTAACCTTAAAGTGACAAGCAGATACAGATAAAGTGGAAGATGCCTGTGCAACTTTCACTTCAAATATTTTCCACTCTGAAATGCAGTGGGATTTCTGTCTGTGTTATGGTCTTTCAGTAAGGCAGTGGAAAGCTTGGCCCAGGGTGGTAATGCCGAAATACAGCATGTGAAAGAAGAGGCACAAAAGAAGATGCAAGAAATGGAAGAAGTCCTGACTAGCAGAATAAACTCTCTGGAGGAGGTGAGTGACCAAATCTGAAGCAATAGTTAGAAATCAGTACTGTCTTTTTGTTGCCTTGTCCTTGCGTGTCTTACACTCTCTTGTTAGATTAACCTCTATCTACCAAATGTTATTGGTTTCTGCTGTCACTCTATTACCTTTTTGAATAAGATTCTCTTATTCCTGTTATTCTTAACATCTTTTTTAATTCCTTGCTGTCTGTGGTTGAGAGAGTTCATTCCTGTATTTATTGTTGAGCCGTAGCTGATATCTTTTCAGGGGAATTGCTTCACGTTTTCCTCATTTTGTAGTGCAAAGGCAAAAATAATAAAAATCTCTGTATGAATAACATGCTTCCTCAGAAGCAAGGAGAAGTTCAGTTTCTTGTAAAGAACAAATTTGATATTGAGTGGTCTGTGCTGGAAATGTTTTTGTCAAGTTCTAGAAATACATAAGCTCATGATTGTTTTGCATCATTGCCTGTATACACTTATCTGTAGCTGTGGGATTTTGTTTGAGGGGATAGACATCTAGTGCTCTTTCTGTAAGTAAATAGAACCAGCACAAGTGGGTACATTCCAATATTTGCTTTTCCATCTCTAAAGAATGAATTGGTCACGGAAGATATTGGTAGCAATCTCCTGGTGATAGAAAATTCTATCAGGAAGATTTAGCAGTGTTCATAAAACAGTGAGCTCCTTCAGGGGGGAAGAGGGAGGAACCTCCATGACCTTTTTTTTTCAGTTCAGTGGAAGTGGGATTTCTGAAAGCATTCTTTGTGCTATTGGATAGGTAGAGACATTCCTAAATTACTCTACCAGAGCAGCCAGCAAGCCTGGGGTTTCCTAGATCTGTCAGGTAGAAGGGCAAACATTCTAATCTTATGGTGGTACAGTAGTTTCTGTAGCCTGAAGATAGAGTTGGCCTCTGATACTAATTTTATTATGCTTATGAATGTGAACACTGCAGAGTAGTATTAATCACTTATTTACGTAGCACTATTAATTATATAGATCCAGGTAACACTAACAAAGATGAATTTCCTTCAGTGTTTTTGATTGAAAGCTGAATGCTCAACTTTACAGAAAGGGGGATGAGTGGTGAAGTCTAGTGGTGAAAGCCTTTTTCTTCACCCTCCCCATGTTTCTGTAGACTTCTAAGGAGAGAGAGGAGTTACCTCTTGGGCTACAGGGAGGCTTTAATTTTGTAGAAAGGAAAATACAGTGAGCATAGCAGGGAGGCTTACAGTATAAAAATGAAGATCTGAAACAAATTTTGCCTAGTGTATGACAACTGTGGTTTTTCTGGTGTTTCCCATTTCCATGTGTTGGGTCACTAGAGGAAATTGGCTGGAATCTCTGGGTGTTACCTCTGTTTCCATTGCTGTGCAAGAGAAAGGTGTCTGGTTCATGTTTTATCAATTCTTGTAAAATATTATAAATGATGTTGGGAAGAGTTCCAATTAGCTACAGTGAGCCCATGAATATTAATTTAATTTCTGATGGAATAAAAAAGCCCTTCTTTAGCCTCTTTAATTTAAGTGTAGTTATTTATTATGAAAGTGGGAGGACAGTGGGACAAAGCCAAATTATAATAGCTAAATAGCATAGCATAGGGGCACTTTTGTTTCCAGTTCTGCTCTAAGTTAGGGTATTTATTTTATTTCTTTGAAACAAACTTCCCTTCTTTATGTACCACAGAAAATGGATTAATCTTGAAAATTCAGACACACAAGAGTTTGGAAGTGTTTGCAAAGTGCTTGAAATACTTGGTAAAAGTTGCTAAATTAAACATACCAGCATATGTTTGGTGGAAGAAACTTTAATATGTGAAAAATTTTGTTAGTGTTTTGTTCTTATAGGCATCAGGATTGTGTGTTTTAATTACAGAATCTTAAAGCTGCCCAAGATGATCTGGAAAAAGCCATTGCAATGACAGAGAAGGAGAAAGCTCTGAGAATAGCTGCTGAGCAGAAACTTGCTTCAATTATGAATGCCCCTGCAAAGGATCTGGATATGATTACAGGAGCTGAGAAAGACAGGTCAGAGCTCTTGCTGATGATGTTTCTAACCACTGGAATTCTTTATTGTTTAAAGTGTGAAGAGTTGACGTGGTTATAGATTTTAATAGTTTGATCCTACCCTCAGATACATGAGTGGGTGTTACTGGCCATCCATCCTATTCAGCACTAAATGAACACAGCAGACAATCAGTGTGCATGAGCCATGAGCATGTCCTGCTTTAAAGCATCTTTGTAACTTCACTGACTTAACTCCAGCTTGCTGCTTTCTTGGAAGCATTCCTGAACAGACCTTGACTCTACCATTTGTGTTCACTCACCACTTCCACAGTGTTTATGTACTTCAGTCCCCGTCGTGTATCCGCTGGGGTTGGTGCATCTGATAGGAAGAGAAACACAAGTGTGTTTAAGCTTTGTGGGTTTGATTGTGCTTTGCAAAGCACTGGCTTTGCTTTGCTTGACAGGTAGTTGGAAGGTTGTTCCAGTTGTTCAATAACTTTAGGTGGGGAAAATGTGTAAACTTTGGAGTTTTTTGTTTGTTGGTTTTTGTTTGGGTTTTTTAGTTTGGTTTTTTTTTATTTTTATGATTTGTAGGGTTAAGGTACTGACAAGCCTCCCAGTAAAGCTTAGTTAGTTTGGGGATATGAGCCTGGAGTGGAGATCAAAAGATCATTATGATTCTTTATGCTTTGGGGTATCCTTTCCTGTCTGTCTGTGACTGAACCCCGCAGGTAACTGCTCTGTGAGTAACTGCATAATTGGTCTACCCCGGTAACAGAAAGTTACGAGGGCCTGAGGCTTTTATTTCATAGGGTTTTTATGTTGTGCTAGGATTCAAGCAAGGTTTGCAGTGTTTTCCAGGCTGTTTTTGTAAAAGCATACAGAATGAAAACTGCAGTTTTGAAATCTACAGTGACATAAAATTATGAAACTGTTCTAATAGGTTTTGGTACTGCACCTTATGTGCCACCACAGTAATTATAACCTGACTCTCGTTACCTCCCTACTTCCCCTTTATCTTCCTCTTTCGATCTGTTAGTCAAGCTGCATGAACACAGTTGCCCTCTGAGTGACTTGAGCTGGGAAGGAGTTATAAAACCAGTCCCTTTTAGAGGTAATTGAGTTGCCAGCTCTATAGCTTGTGTGGAAACAAATTGTCAGGGTTGGATCACTAAAGTGAGGGCTGTATGGAGTGTGATGAGCATTGTCCTTTTTCACCCCCCCCCTCTGTTTTCTTTGCCCTGCCCCTTGTGATCCAGTTTTTGCAGGATCTTCTATAATTCCATGTTGGTAGATCGGTGTAAGAATTCACAGGACCAGAAAAACATAGTGCTAATGGAAGACGAGAGTATTTCCCTTGTTGAAGTGATTCAAATATTAATGCGTGATGCTTTAAACTTGTTTGGGAGTAGCCCATCTGGAATTCATAGTGTGTTGAAAAGCTACTTTCACCCTCTAGGCTACAAAAACTGAGAGAATTGCAGCTGGCATCTTATGCCAGAAAACTTTCACCTATAACTTTGCCTGTCAGAAAACTAAAGCACTGCAGTTTTTATCACTTTGGAATACTGGATGTGTCAAGATGTGTATTGACTAAAGTAGGTAGCACTGACCTAACTTCTTTTTTTTTTTTGTACTGTGCAATGAGAACCAGCTTAGATACAAATATAAATGAAATTAAGTACTTAAGTGATGGCACGTAAGGATATGGTGTTGTATGTGCTACGAAGTGGAATAGTGATAAGCTTTTTGTGTTTGCTGTAAAGGACAATGTAACTAAAATAGTCAAGCTTAAGTGTTGACATTTGAAATGGTACTGGAGGAAAATAAAACTGAGTGCTTTTCAGATAGCTCAACCCTGTTTGTTGTTTGCTTTAACGTTACAGCACCTTTTCTGGTTTCTCTGGAGGGAAAAGGGGTTGTGAAGGTGCTCCCTTATGTTTCACAAGTATTGTCTGGAGTCTTCACTTAGGAAAGTTGTCTACAAGATTTACTGCAATGACTGGAGAACTGGTGGTAGATGATGCAAGATTAATATTAAAAATCTTATAATTCTAGACTTATAGAGCAACTGAATCTGTCATTGAAAAGTAAAGAAGCTATAATTCAACACCTCGAAGAGGAAAAGTCTCAGAGTGGATCTTATGATGGGAACTTATCAGCAGAAAAAATCAGAGAACTTACCATTGCTTTGAGGCATGAAAAAGATAGTGAGATAGAGGTGAGGCAACTGACTGAAGAGTTATATGTTATAAATCTCATGTGGTCCAGGATTTTAAAGGTTTTGTGCATGACAGTATGTGAGTGACTTAAGCCCTTTTTTAAAAAAATACCCTTTTTCCACAGTTATTCCCTTCTGCATTCCCTTAACATTCATTGGTTCTATTGTGGTTTGGCAGTCAATATTCATTCTTATTATCCATGCTTACCATTCATTCAGTGAGAGGTTATGTTTCCCATTGACTTTATGCTTGTATTTTATTATAGATACTGTGCAATTGCTTTACAGAAGTATATATAAAAAATGTGCTAGATGTTAATAGATCCCTCAATAGATGACATAACTTCTATAGAGTTTAAGAATTTGAGTTGAGAGTTTATTTTTTGGAATTATCTCTACTGTTATGAAAAAACTGTGGTAAGGGAGGTTGGTGTAAAAAATCTTATGAAATAAAGTGAAAGTCTAGCCTTTAGCCTACCAAAAGTACTAAGAGTCAGTCTTTTATTTCATAAAATAGGAAGATAGATATCCTGAAAGGTAGAAACAGATGTTCAGGCTTGTTGTCGCTTTTTTTTGTCCTATTGATTATTCAACCAATAAATTAAAGCTGGCAGAATTAAGAAAGTAATCATGAAGGCTGAGAAATTTTCTTCCCTTTTTGTTTTGGAACTTAATATTGATCAGTACCTAAATACTATTTTTGTTTATATCAAGAATAGACAAGAGAACCTTCTATGAGTGGACTGATTGGTAGAAGTAAAGTTTTCAGGTCTGAGTTTCCTTGCAATTAAATCAGTACGTGTCAGGAAAAACTACTCTGGTTTCACAGAAATGTTTGTGTGTCAAGGTGAAAACAGGGACAGGGTCATCTTTAACCATTTAATAGGAGGTGGACAGACTGTTGTCATTTTGGGATGCAGTATTGGAGAAAAAATTCTGATGAATACCTTTGCACAACTCTGTTTTTATATATGATTACTTTTTAAAAAAAAAAGTTCTGTAGCCTCCCCAAGGAAAAGTGCTAATTAAAATCTCTCTTAACGAAAGCATCTTGCTGACATAGATAAATGTCACATAAAAATGCATTTTTATTAACTCAGCAAGTGCAGTTGTTCTATCTCATGGAAGAACATGTTGTGTTGTTTGTGGGTTGGTTTTTTTGGTCATCTTAATTTGAACAGGCTCATACTGTGCCCAGGTAGATTTCTAGACTTCCAGGAAGGTACCGACTCAATGTATTCCTGCCAAAGTGTTGAATGTAGTAGTTACAAGGTGTATACTTAGTTGTGTTGTCTGCTCCCCCCCCAGCCCCCAAGGTTTTTAAGCTCCTTTTGCTTAATTTTAATGCTTCGTAAGTTACATTTGTTTTTAGCATGAAATTACCTGAATGTAACAACTGTTTTGTTCTTATAGGCTATTAGAATGGAGCTTAAAAATGAAAGAAATTCCTTTGAAAAAAAGATTCAGGTAAGTTCTAATCTTATTTCTGTTTCCTTGACTACTTAAAGTGCATGGTCGGGTCTCTTCTGTTACACATTCATACATGCAGAGACCTTGACTCAAACAGAAGCAAAACCTCTGGTAAATTCTCTTTTATGTCAGATGACAGGAAGACTCACCTTGTTTTTGAAATGATTTTGAGTAAAGCGCATAGACATGCTCTTCAAATATTGAAACTGATACTCATGGCCAGCCCACGAGATTAGGCTTCTTGTATACTATATTCCATGTACACCTATAAATTGACAACTCACATTTTGGGACTATGTTTTATGTTAGCAATCTGAGTAATAAGGTACAAGAACTCTGGGAGAATGTACTTATTAATGTGCAGTTACAGCATCTCTTAGTGGGAAGTTAATGCAACTTTCATATAATCTAATTTAGTCACTTCAAGAAGAGCTACAAGAGAAGGAAAATGAGCTTGCTGTTGAAAAGAAGAATGGTTTGAAAAGGGATAAAACCATTCAAGGGCTAACGGTTGCATTAAAAGCAAAGGAAAAAGAGGTATGATGATTATGATCCTGCTGGTTTGTAGAACTATCCCTGGGAGGGGAGTGTGTGCATTGTGTGTGTGGCGGGGCTTGACTGATCTCACCGTAGCCATTAGGAGGCTTCTAGTGGGTCCTTAATCATTGCTGTCGTGTCCGTAAGCAGTTCTGTTGATCTAGAGTTTTGGTCTTGGGCTGGAGGAGAGAGGCAAAAGATACTTAACTGATTCTTTCTCCTTTAAGAACTTTGAGGAAGAATGTTTCCAGTTGCACGCTGATTTTGATCAGCTCTGAGCACCACTTACAAGGTCTGAGAAGTATTTGATGTTGTTGAGTAAGTGGCGCTGTCATAAAGACAGCTAAAATAGGAGAGGTCAATGACAGCCAGAATTCAGATTTTGTGGAAGAATGGGAAATACTTAACTTGAGTGATAGGCGGCCTAGTGAGTGTTGTAGAAGAACAAGAATTTCTTTATATAAGATTTATTATGATGTATTTGGTGTTTTTGTTCTTTGAAGTATTTGTTTTGTGTAGTTGGATGAATGGATAATGAGATGGGATAGCTATTACTGAATCACCATCCCTTGGAAATAACTCTTTCTACATAGTATTCATTTTACTTTACTTAAAGAATGAGGAGCTTGTTTCAGAAATTGAAGATCTAAATGCTTCATTGGCCAAGGCGAGAGAGGCAACTCATAAAGCACACATCCAAAAATTCAAGGTAAGAAGCGAGCAATTAATGTGGCTTCCCCCACCCCTGCTCCTCCCTTCTCCATAATTCCACACACTGGGTAGCACTTTGTGTCTTTGAAAGCAGAGGAATGGAAATTAGTGCACAATGTTGTTTAAAATGTTCAGTTTTTCTTAATTTGAAAAAAATTGCCCAAATCCAATTATTTAAATGATAGAGTGTTAAAATGTCAGACTAGCTACCTTGTTTATTGAGTTTTTTCATCTATATCAACTGAGAATTATTAAGGGAGAAATGTGTAAAAGCAAAATGAGTTTTAAAAAAAGAAGAAATAGTTGTGGAGCTGAGATAATATTGAACTTTCTTTGTTGACCTATGAATGTTTTATTTTTTCTCCCAAAAGTATGGAAATGGCACATTCTTCATGTTAGCAGAGGTGAGCTGGGTGTGAGACACTTGTTTGAATTTATTTATATAACAAATGTGAAACCTCTGTTTATAAAACAGTGGAATGTTGTTTGTGAAAATGTGATTTAGTAATGCTGTCATCTGTGTGGAGGAGAAAGGACTTTATGATGATAATTTATGTATTATAAAGGTCTTAAAATGTAAAATGGGAGAAAGTAAGAATTTGATATTAAAATAGACAACATAATGTCTCTTGTAATGTTTTCCAACTTGCCTAGAGCTAATTCTGATAAAAATAAGTCTGATTAAACTAACTAGTACTGATTAGAGGCAGTGATGACTCTTCCATTAGGATGTGTGTTCATCCACGTGGTGTCATGGCTCAGCAGGGGTGGAAGAGGTTGATAGGTTGCCTCCGAAGTGCACTCACCTAAAGCTTTTGATACTGACTCTACTGGTTTTTGATTTCAGAGTCTGATGGAGTAGTAATGTTTAGTTCTCACAAAGCACCTCTTTTTCTTCAAAACCCATTTATTTCACATAAGCCCAAATTTTAAGCGTGCTCTATTGAGAAAAGTATATGCTATTTCTCATTCAGGTCACTTTGGCCTGATTGAATCTATAGCTTATGTTTGCTTTTTTTGTATGATGGATGTCCTGCTTTAAAATACTACTGTAACTTTAACCCTTTCATTTTTATGAGAGCTCGATTATTTTTGAAAAGTTCTAGGTTTACAAAGTGCACAACTAATCCCTCCAGGCTGCAGGATGCGTATTGCACGGTGGGTGACAGAGCAAGCCTTTCTCCTCATTCCTCTGCTACTTGGCTACAGGCTTGAGGTGAAGGCAGTTCTCTGGGGGTAGATCCTGCTGCGTAGTCCACTGCTCCTCTCCTCTCTCTTGTGAACCTCAAGGAGGCTGGTTGTAACAGTATGTGATGGAGAACAGCACAAATCAGACTTGCTATTTTGTATAGACTTGGTAACTACTGACCCCAAAGTAGAAGGCTTTATGTAAGAAGAGCTTTGGGAACCAATAATAATAATAATATGGTCTTATTTGCTCTATGGGCTCCTTTGTCTAATTTTGGGAACCAATAATAATAATAATATGGTTTTATTTGCTCTATGGGCTCCTTTGTCTAATTCTTAGATAGCTAAGACTTTGTTATCCTGGGCTGGATGTCACTGAAAGCTGTGTTAGTGTTAATTGAGGAAACTTTTAGTGTAACGTTTTCCCTGTTGTGTGAGTAACTGTCACTTCACTGTATTTTCGCACCATAATTTTTGAAGTACTGGAAAGAGGTGTGGGGGTGTGGGTTTGGACACAACAGGAAAAAAGCTTTCGTCTCTACAAAATACCCTTATAGAACTCAAATGCTGCTTTGTGTTTCAGGGGGCTGAGGATTATCAAGCTCTCTTGATGGAAAAAGAGACCCTCTTAGCAGAGCTGCGCTCAGAAAACCTTACAAAAGATGCTGAGAATCGTAAACTACAAAGGAGGATTAAAAGGACCGATCAAGAGCTGAATGATTTGAATTTAGAAAGAGAGAAAATGGAGAAGGAGCTGGATGAAGCACAACTACAGAAGAGCAGAAGTGACAAAACCATTAATGTTATTATCACTTTTTTCCTTTATTTCATGCAGTTAAAAATAATTTAGCATTTCTAGCATGTCCTTTTCTAACAAATTTACTTTTTTAACTTGAATAATTTTTGGAAAGGTAAATGCATTTACTTATAGCCAGTGTTCAAAAGAATGGGACCAAGAAGCTTGAGGAAAACTCTGGCATATAATCTGCATAGAAAAAGACTTTAAAATAAATATAATTTCAATAGTCTCAGGTTCTAGAAAAAATGGTTAGTTTTCATAAGTGGTAAATGTTTACAATTGGTTTCAGTTTTTCTGATGGGAGAGTCTGAACGTGCACAACTGTACTTTTTATATACCTGCTGTATTTGCCATGTTCTATATCTATACATTATCTGAAATAACGTCACTGAAATTCACCTTTCTTCTTAGTTCTAATGCGGAACAGGAGGAAGTAGCCAGTTGCCAACTTAAGCCAAACTTCAGCTTGCTTTTTGCTATCATAGCAGGGTCACTGTAAAGGCTGTATATTTAATAATTTCTGCTTGTAAAATTCCCAAAGGCAGGATTAGTTGATCACACTTTAATATAAAGATGACGTGCTGTATCTGTTCATTAATTTTCCTTGCTTCATATTCTGTTTAGGGTTTTTTTTACCTTGCTGTAGTCATGTAGATGACCACTTCTGCTTCTACTACGTGCAGCTTGTGCAACAAAACGAATGATCAGGTTTCTTGTTTTCTTCCTTTGAAAAAAGGGTGCACCTTCTGCTCAGTGTTTGACATAAAACACACTTCTCACCTGTGTGTCTTATCACGTGGATTTTTGTAAAGTCTCTCACCGTTGCTCCCATTAGGGCAGCATTTGCATAACGAGCGGAGTCCTGACTGCGTGCGGAGGCTGAGTCCCTTCAGCTAGGGATTAGCCTCCTGCTATATTAATTACACGAAAGATTAAATGAGCTTGTATTTATTCGGTGGATGTTTTGGTTCAATTATTAAATAAGGACCTTAAGGCAGGTGTATGTGGAAATGGCTCTTTCTGCAATATCACATAAAACCAGCAGAGGGGTCTCTTTACCTACAAACAAATCAGTTCTGTGCCCTGTCTCCTGCCCCCAATTTAACTTGCGTTGTGGTTGATTGTCAACTGTGGTTATGCTGCCGTCACTAAGTCTCTATCTTTGGTGTGCTTTGAAATTTTTCTTCAGGGTGTTGAGGTTAAGGAGAGAGAGAACAGATCGCTTCTGTCAGTAAAACAGCCACAAAGAACATATTTTATTGATTTAAAGTATTTTATATTTAACTGTCTTTTCTGTTTAGAACTTTTTTTCATCTTTCAGGGGAGCTGGAATATAACTCTGCATAGGAAAGACAGGAAAAATAGAACTGAGTAGGGAGTTGCCAGAGGATTCAAAGTTACTTGTATTACAGAAGCCTCTTTGACTCCATTATGTCCATGTTTTTCATGTAAATGACTAGCTCCCTGGGGAAAAGCATTCCTGCCAAAAGATGAGCAGTCTTATAAAAATTATATCCCTAACCTATTTCCTACTCCTCGCAGAACAGCTGCTTCCATTTCAGAGTTGCTGGTACATTTGGATATAGCAACATTGCCTGTGAAATGTTGCCCATTAAGTAGTAGATATGTGGGAGTAAAAAAATATGCTGTGATATTTTGCTCTTTGACAAATAGAAAACCACTTCAGTGATCTGATGCAAACTTTTTATGAGGCTGCCTTTAAAATTCTGTTCTATTTATGCTCCAAGACACCTATTTATCAGTGTTTCTATGTTGTTAGAATAAAACGAGCAAGAATGTGCCGAAACTCTAGAAAATGCCCTTGACATCTGTAATGAACTGCTGTTTTAGCTCTTCACTCGCAGGGAAATTCTCAATGACTTTTCATATACTGTGATTGGAATAATCCTGATTTTTTGCAGATATCTATTTAAAAACAAAAAACAAACAAAAAACAATGAAAAAAAAAAAAAAAAAAAAAACCCAAACACTGTGATAGGAATAATCCTGTTTTTTTGCAGATATCTATTTAAAACAAAACAAACAAAAAACAAAAAACCAAAGCAACACCAAAACCAAAACACAAATCCACACTAAACCTTTGAGATCCAGAGAAAGTCCCTCTGCCCTGTTGTAAACCCAGCTTGTCAAGATGATTTAGACTTTACTGTCGTGGAATGGAAGAAGGTTAATTAAACTAAATTAGCTAAGACTGCTACATGTGAGCTGCTCATGCAAATCGCATGCTGTGCCCAGTGTCAGGAGTTCTCTGGAGCAATGGGCACAGATGTTCTTGAGCAACATCCTTGCCTCAGGGTGGGTTGGTGCCCTGGCTTTTTACTAGGTCAACTTTAAAAGCAAAAAACCCCTCAATTTTGAACTTTCCAAAAGCTGCTGATAAGCAGTGATTCAGCACCACTTCAAGCTCTTTGAAACAAACTTTTGGGCATTATATTCCTACACATGATCGATGAGGAATAAACATCAGCTCTTCCTTCATATTGTTTGTGGCCACCATGTTACTGTGTCTGTAACAGTCAGTGCTTCTTGATCAAAGAGTTTGTTCAAATTTACATGATTAAACACTTCAAGTATCCATTCTCTCTCCAGGCCTAAATGTAGACAATTAAAGTGTATTTACTAGGCATTCATATTTGATCAGTTGGTTGGGGAAATGCAGAGTAACTCATTAGGTGGAATTTATTATTTAGTCTTCCTACCTGTGGTTCAGCCTGAGAGGGAGGTTTTGGAGCTTCACGACTTAATTATTCACCGACCTGTTTTCCATCTGACAAGGAGGGGGAGGCATCTGCTCTGGTCTTCTACATTATAGTGTTTCACATTCATTTTTCTTAGTTCAACTATCATTAATCATAGGAAAGTCTCTTGGGAAAAAGGTTGGCAGAGGGAATTGCAAAGTTTATGCTCTGAGAACTGTAGGTACTATATTATCCTTCCAACTCGATGTATAGAAACCAATAGATTTTTTTTCTCCCAGACAATTTGAGTGGTCAATGAGTTCAAGCAACCTGCTATAGTGATGGATAGGTTTGTGTGTTGCAGAATTCTAGCTCATGCAAAGGAGATAATTTTCAGTCTCAACTCCTGCTTGTTTTGGGAAGGATTTAGGGAACTCTGGGGGCAGAAATAGCGAAGTATCTGCAAATTGTGAATCTCTCACAGGCCTTTTAACTTTTCCCAGAATCGTATGCCTTGTCAGTCCACCTCTTTCCGTAAACTTAACCATGATATTTGTGCTGCTTTAGAGGCAGAAGCTTATTTTATGTACCTGACAAGTGTGGTACACCAAGAGGACTTGGATTAGATAATGGGGGTGTAGTACTGTTGTTCCAGCAGCATCTTTTCTATCTATATCTGTCTCTCATCTTTTCTTCTTAAAGCTGTTTATGCTTTTCATAAAGAGAAATCACACACTATTGGTCACTTGAAACGATAGGACAGGTCACCAGTGTTCCTTTGATGTTTAGTTACCTAAAAAGCAATGTATTCACTTAAAACCTCTCAGTGATGTAATAGTATAAAACCAATGTAAAAACAGAAGGCCAAGGAGTGAACTTTGCGTTGCAGTGAAATTCATAAGGCTGCAGTTGATCCTTGGCTTCCAGTCCATGTGTTGTACATGAATAGGCTGAGTGTGACCCACTTGAAGAGCTCTGTAGCTTCAAGCCAGAAGACTTTGCGGTTCTCGCAGCGTTGTGGTGCTTTCCAAAGAGCTGTGCTGCTTTCCAAAGAGCTGTGCTATGCTGCACTTTGTATTTATAGCTGGCAGTTGGGAAGAAATAGAAACGTATTTGAGAGTTTGACAGAGCTTGGACCTGATTCTGCAATTCTTCACTTTTCTTAGTTAAGCAAGTAGTGCTCTCGGTCCTGAAGAAATTAACTTTCTTAGTTTACAGAACTGAAGTTCTAAGCTTAATCATTCTTTGAAACCGAATAACATTTGAGGTTTTTTGGGAGCTATTAGGGGTTTCTTCGCTGAATCCCGCTAATGAAGCTAAAATTAAGCAAAAGGCATTGTAAATGACAATTTGTATTTAATGTGCAAAATAAACAGAAGTAGAACACTGAAGTAGTAAAATGATGTTAAAGATTTGATGCGAACCTGCATGAAGCAAGGTAATTAAGTCAAGAAAAGGACATAAAACAGTTTGTAAAGAGATTGCAATTAAAGTGTCACTAGTACTATTTCTTTGTGCTTAGAATAAGAAACAACTATTGAATTTTAAATCCCAGTGGAGGTAAATGTAAAGTTTATAGGTGACTACCATATGTGCAAACTATTTAAAGGGCTTATGATACTTCACAAATGGACCCCTTTTGGGAATAAATGGAAAACATTTGTTTTAAGATGTGTTACCTGGTTCTTTGGGTCTGAAGAGAAGTTTAGATAGTATAAAGTCTTCTGTAAGTTTTAATTATTTAATTTTAAACAACAGCTCCTTTATTACAAATTTCTACTTCTCTTTTTCCACACAATCCGTGCAGTAAATGCTTTAGATCTTCTTGCAGAGTAAAAGCTTTTAAACCAAGGCTGGTGTGTGTGCAGGCTGTGCCTCCTTCAGCCAACAAATCAGCAACAGATAGTGGTGGTGGGAGAGAAATTGGAAAGACAGAGATGCCACATTGTGGATTTTTGTACTGCCTTGTGCTCTTGTGCATTTTCCCCTCTGTAACTGGGAATTGACTATTAATTACATGCTAATAACTTATGTTTCCATCGATTTAGTGATTGTCCCAGTTCAGAGCAAAATGCAAGGAATAAGAATTGTTTGGTCTTACTGCTTGGAACTCAAGGTAGTCAGACTTTGAAACCCCATATCTGGCTGGATTTTCAGAGGGTGGATTTTCACATGAAGTGAACAGGATCTGTAGGAGTGCAGAGGAGAAAGCTGTAGTTGTGGTGTGTGTCAAGTGTGTGACCTGCAAAGTAGGAGATCCTGCTTTTTACATTGCAGTAGTCCCTGTTGATCCTATAATCTCAGGGTCCTTTGGACTTGCTACTGTGTAAGGCTATTGAAAGAGATTGTTTCTGTGTTTTAGAAACAAAATGGACAAGAAGTGGATGTTTCTCTGATGGGGAATTAAGGTGTTGATATGATGCAACTAAGCTTGGAGCTGCAGGAGATAATTAACAGAGCCATAATCGAGATCAAGTTCTGCTCACGACTTCTAATCGTGAGACTGACCTGTTTGGTCATTTGAAGTTTGTGCCCTTGTCAAAAGAAAATGTTTTAACATTTCTGACCTTTTGTTTGATGCAAAAGTAACTAGTAATACAATGTTAGTGCAAGAATTTTCATGGTGTGATGAGAAAAAGAGCAAATGACAAACTGAATCACCCGTAACCAATTTTCTCCTATTTCTAGCAAGGGAGTAAATTGACTCAGAAGTGAGTGTTCATTCTGACAGCGACAACATCTACGTGAACGATATTCCTAACAGCCTCGGAGTCCAGTCCTTCTGTATGAAAAGCATTTCAACAGTAACAACCTAGATTTTTTGAAGACAATACTGTCACCTCATCTAAAAGTTTTCTTTCTTTAATTGTATTCATTGATGCCAAGAGAAAGATGCTGGCTTAAATACATAAAATACATACTCCAGAATATTTAGTGGTATGAGTAATGTAAAGCAATGGAAAGTTTAGCTGATAATGTGGGTTGTTAGTGTTAAACTTTTTTAAAAGTTGAATTGCTAAACATTCGGTTTCTTTTTTTTTTTTTGTAGGACCTTAGAAATCAGCTAGAGAAATTACATGGTGAAATGACTGAGAAAGAAAAAGCAGTTGAACATCATTACAATATTCTTTTGAGTGAAAGCAATCAGAAGTTGCAGAGCCAAGAACTAGTTATCAAGCGGCTGACAGACAGCGTCAATCAAAAGGATCTGCAGCTTCAGGTGGGGAGACTTCAGCTGAAATGAAAAATGGAAAGTTATCGTCTGATTTTGTATGAGGAATTATTACAAAATCACATTTCTATTTGGAATTACTGTTGATTTTGATGATAATCCTTCACTTTATAATACTGTATTTGCAGAACAGACATATAATTATAGAGTGTGTGGCATTCAATGAGATTTCTTGTTAGGGTTTTATGAAGCGTGTGGACAGAGGAGGAAGAAAGCTTTGCTGGTACTTATGTAGAATTTTCACTGTTGTGGTAAGATAGTTTAAAAGCTCTGAAGTACCTATGATTTTCAGCTTATTGTGCAGAAACTAGAAGTTGAGGAATAGCTATAGATACTGAAATATTTTCTTTTTTTTCCTTCTGTTTTCTTTCTTTTGAACCCATTCAAAATAATGTACATGAGGAGGGAGCTGCCTGAATGCTAATGGACCCCTGCTCAATTTTTTTACAACTGGAGATATAACCCTGAAAAGTACTGATGGGATTCAACCAACAATGCAAAGAGTAATAGTTGAGCTTGTTCTGTACCTGGGCACCAAGGTGTATGCCTTTGCATTTTGTAGTACTTAAAGCATTGGATAGCTGGGGAAAGCTTTGGGGTTTTTTTGCTTCTCTTACATGAAGTTGAGCTTTTCTTTTGTGAGGTATGTGAAGAACATATGTCAGATCATCCTTGGATATTCTCCTGAATTCTGTTGGTTTCTCTGTTTTGCAGTATACAACTAGAATAAATTTTGTACAACTGTCTCATTATCTTCTTTTGGTAGAAACTTGATGGAACAGTCAAAGAAAAGGATGCAGAATTGCAGGAGCTCCTGAATAAGTACAAGAACCTCCTAAGAGCCAATGAAGAACTTGAACTCAAAAATGAGGGCTTAGTAAAGGAAAAACACGCTGCACAGTCTCAACAGTCGATCATCAAGATAGTCAGAGAGTTAGAGGTGAGTTTTTTATAACTCTGATCATTTGTCAATAAATACCTTACATCAAATTGAAGAGAATTGTGACTTTGGCATCAAAGGTGTGGACTCATATAGATTGTAATTTGCCTGCGTAGCAAGGGGCTGTTTTTCCTTCAGATCAATACCATCACATGTATTATTAAAATTATAACAATGGCTTTTATAATAATTGTGTCATATGATTGGTATGATTGTGGTGGTGTTGATCTGGTATTAGAGGAGTACATAGTATTGTACTCTGATGGGTTCATATGGCGTCACTAAAATCTTTACTCTCAGAAAGTGTGTAAAATGCTTTGCCCACCATAAAGAGGGAAGAGCTTTGTGATCATTAAGGGAGACATATTTCCCTGAGTGTGATGGTATCTGCGTTTCTGGAGGGAGGTGCAGAGGAGAGTTTGTGTACTTCTGATAGATAAGGGGAAAGATTGCACAGAGCTAGTGATCACAGGAGATAAATGGAGTTTGAGAATAAAAAATATATAGGAGTGAAGAGATATCTAGGGCAAGAAGAAAACTACTTCTTGACGTAAAGCAAAGAAAGGAAATAGTACAGAAAAATATGTATCTTTAAAACGGTGGACAATATATGCCCATTATTTTATTTGATGCTTTGACGTAAAGCAAAGAGGAAAGGAAATAGTACAGAAAAGTATGTATCTTTAAAAAGGTAGACAATATATGCCCATTATTTTATTTGATGCCATAAATCAAAAAGAGTTGTTTAGGACCTGAAGTTGGAGGTCAGAATTCAAACTCTTAAAATGTAGATTTAATTCCTTTCCCTTTCATCTCTCACTTCTGTACAAGCCATAAGAAAAAGAAGTCAGGTAGTGGTAAGAGGTTTTTGAATCACTTGCTGACTCCATCAGTGCATTTTTTTTATTGTGTACAGATTGGTGAAGAGGTAAGTTGCTTTTGAAGGTTCGTTTTGTGTCTTTTTTTATGTTGTTTGCAGCCTTGTATGTTAAGGTCTCTAGAACCATCAGGCAAGAAAGAATTAGATTACTATGTACTAATGATGGAGAAAGCTATTTAGTTTCTTTAATAATATATCAGGCATGAAGGAGATTTTTCTTGATGATGTTTAAAATAAAGGGGGCCAATGGCAAAGGAAACATGAGTGCTGTGTCCTGTGTCACCTCCTGAACACACTAGTGATGAGATGCTTAATGTGTTGTGGGCACTATTAAATAAAGTATGCAGGTGCACGTTGAATTATGGGTTACATGACAAGCTTGGAGAAAAGGAGCTGCATCACGGTTTGCCAGGGTACCAGTGCAGAGTATATCAAAGAATATATGAATATACATGTAGAGAAAATAAAGTCTGTGAAAGGCTGAGTAGAAATTCTACCTCTGTAAAACAAACCGCAGTGCACGCACGTAACTTCTGTCACAGAGGGACCTGAGAGTGATGGAAAATCATACAGAATTGATGAAAATCAAATACTGGCTTTCCTCTGTACACCCCACTTCCCGTACTACAGGTGTACAACCAGGAGAGAGAACGGTGGCAAGCGAGGCCACGCATGGTAATGGCCCAGCACCCACCTTCTCATCACCATCCATTCTCTGTCGCGGGTTCACGCCGTGATTGTGAACAATGCCTCATCACAGCCCATTGTCCTCTCCCCTCAACCTCGGCGTAAGATAGCTCCTCTAAGAACCCGCTTTGGCATATTAATCATAAGTTTTTGGACACAGATTATGCAGAGCTCTGCTCTCATTGGCTGCCTTGGACTCTTTGATGACTTTACAGTGCTACACCAACTCCCAACAAACGCGCAGCTGGATCCTCCCCACCAGAGAGAACAGAAACCAACCTCTTCCAGCCTCACTGATCTTTAAAGTTGAAGAAGCTGAATTGAGAGATGCAGAACTTTCTCTCTTTCATCATATCTTTTTACTTTATTTTAATGTAATGATAAATTTTAAAGCAACCAACATCCAAAGCTCTGCTGGGTGCCTTGGCCAGGCCAGGGAAGATAAATGACAGTTTCTAATTAGAGTTTGGATTCTTGAGCCACTGTCATGGGCTAGGGAGAGAGTGTGCGAGGGCACTGATAATTGGGTTAGTCATGCAACTGCTGACTCTGGTATCTATGAGCTCTCAGAATGAAATGTATTTTACAGCCAAGGAATTTAGAAGTGTGATGGAAACTTTAGTTGATTTTGTGCTTAATGCTCTTCTTGGCATGTATCAGCAAGAGTGTGACCAGCAGGACTGGGGCTGTTCTGGTCCCCCTGATCTTGGCACTGGTGAGGCCCCACCTTGAGAGCTGTGTTCAGTTTTGGGCTCCTTGCTATAAGAAAGACATTGAGGGGCTGGAGCGTGTCCAGAGAAGGGCAACGGAGCTGGTGAGGGGTCTGGAGAACAAGCCTTGTGAAGACTGGCTGAGGGAGCTGGGGGTGTTGAAGCTGTTATTGGGGTGTTGGAGCTGGTGTGAAGTTGCAGCAAGGGAGGCTCAGATTAGATATTGGAAAGAATTACTTTACTGAGAGGGTGGTCAGGCTCTGGAACAGCCTGCCCAGGGAGGTGGTAGAGTCACCATCTCTGGAGGTATTTAAGAAACGTGTAGATGTGGCACTTCAGGGCATGCTCAAGCGCCTGAGATGGTTGGGTTGTGGTGTCTGATTTGCTGCAGCTGGAGAAGTTATAGTCTGTGCATGAAAGTCATTGGTGTAACTGGAGCATTGCATTGATGGGTGCTGTGAGAATTGGGATGGGTGCCTTTGTGGCAGCGCTGCAGGTGAAATTGCTGCAGGGTGCACACTGGTGCTGAGCTGTGACTCTGGAGAGTGAGGTAGTTGACTTTTTTATTTTTATTCGAGTGTCCTGTCTATTAAATAGTGATCAGTGCATTGTAGTCCTTGCTTTCAGTCTCTTGAAATTGATGTTGTGAACACATAAACAAAGGGGTAGTTCAATTTCTGATTTAATGAGATGAGCTTCGAGCTGAAAACAGCAACGTTATTTGTGTGAGAATTGGGATGGGTGCTGTTGTGGCAGCGCTGCAGACGTGTCTGAGGTGAAATTGCTGCAGGGTGCACACTGGTGCTGGGCTGTGACTCTGGAGAGTGAGGTAGTTGACTTTTTTATTTTTATTCGAGTGTCCTGTCTATTAAATAGTGATCAGTGCATTGTAGTCCTTGCTTTCAGTCTCTTGAAATTGATGTTGTGAACACATAAACAAAGGGGTAGTTCAATTTCTGATTTAATGAGATGAGCTTCGAGCTGAAAACAGCAACGTTATTTGTCAATATCCGTGTCTTCACATGCTCCAAACTTGATACCTGTGATGGTGATGGAAGGGATGTGGTTAGTCTATCTCACCATTTTCATATTAGCAGTAATTTCATCTGAAAGGAGTTAGCCTGGTGGAGTGATATTTGGAGTATACAGTCCAGTCGTCTGCCCTCGCCTATCACCAAGAAGGGCCACAAGTTCCTCAGAGCCATAAGCTTTGTGACATTTTCTGTGGTTGAGACGACATCTTCTAAAAGTCACCAACGCAGTCTTTTGCTCTAGTAATTTTCATCTTCAGAGATATGACTCGGTGGCCCATAACAATTTTAATCTTATTAGTGATTGTTTCATTTCTGGGAGACCATGCATAAAGCTTACTGCATCGTGAGAAGAAATTACCAAATCCTGGTACTGGTGGATGGATGGATGGATGGATGGATCAGTGATGAGGTGAAGGTTATGGCCTTCTCTCCATCATTCATCCTTTAACCTTCAGAGACTTTGCAGTGATCCTGAAGGTTGTTGTAAGCAAGAGAGTGTTCAATGAGGCAACCGGGCATTCTTGTGACTTTGCCAGTAAGTTATTTATTGTGGAGGTATAAACCTTTTACTTTCATTGCTTACAATCTGAGAAACCTTTAATGAAAATAAGTTATGTTTTCCACCACTGCTGCTTAGCAATAGTATTTCAGACTTAAATATAGACTTTAATGTATTAGATTGCCTCCTTTCATGGGAATATAAATCTTTCACTGCAATATGGTGCTGGATGTCTTGCAGCTATCTCCTCTAACACATTTTCCCTCACACCATGTGTCAAGAGGTTTAATGTTTCATTAACTCCCACGGCATTATGGTCTATTTAAGTTACAGAGCTGCCTTATGTTTTGTGTACCGTTGGGAAGTTGATTGGAATAATTCACTCCTACGCTTTATTTAGAAATGACAGTAATAATGTACAAAAAACAAAAAGGGGGATGTTCATGCTGTATCTTCTCATCCTTATTATTCAGGAAAGATTCTGAAATATCAACCATTTCTTGGTGATTTTGCTAACCCCTGCCTAGCTAGTTGAATTGAGAACTTAATAATTTGTGTACAGTCTGTGACATTGGGAATTAAAAAACAGCTCATGTCTTCCGTTATTCAGGGAAAAAAAAAAAAAAAAAAGAAAAGATTTGGGAGGATTTCATGAGCTTACGGAGATTTTGGTGCAAATGTAGAATTAAATTAACATGTGAATTCTAAAAGAAACATGGGAAACCAGAGCATGGCTCTGTGTGTAACGATGCTTTGTTAATACAGCAGACATAGACCCCGAACAATTGGTGACAACTGTTATCTAATTTGTGTACCGTGAACTCTTCAAAGTGACATTACTTTGCCAGTGCTTCAGGAAGAGCTTTTAATTAGGATATAGTTCTGTAGTGTCTTCAGTAATAATTGCGAGGCTCGTATCAGACATATGGAAGAGTTCAGTAGAACTTTTAACAGACTGTTAACCAACTAAATTAAGTCAAAAGATTTATTTCTTCCTGTTGCTTTCTACGTCACTGATCGGTGTCATTGTGAACAAACTCTTTCCAAGTTAAATTGCAATCTGTGTATTTTATGTTTAGTGACTGTTCTTGAAAGGCTGAGATTCCAACATGTTGATGAGACTCCTTAATTCAGGCTGTACGATGTACTTTTTTACATTTTTTTTTTTAGGTGACATTTTTTTATTAATGGACTTTGCATCACCCACCTCCATCTGCTTGCCTTTGTGTTTCTCAGTATTCCCTCAGCAGAAGTTGCTGTGTGCTCCTCCTCTGCTCATCTACATAATGAACTTGATAGGAAGCTCGGTATTTTGCGCTTTACGTACAGAATTAGGATTTACTGTAAAAATGGCCCTAGAACCTGGAAACATTTGTTGGAAGGCAGCTGCTGTTGGAATGATGGCAGGTGACCATGATGCAGATGTACAAAGGCAAGGTCGCTTCTTCAAAGAAGCTCTAGTGTGAGGTGGTAGAAGCTGCTCTTTCTGCAGCACATGCAGATTACCTTCACGGGAGTAATTTGATCAAGACTTGATTACACTTGCAAAATATTATTTAACATATTTGCTAGCATACTGTGAAGTATGAGTGTAAATAATTAAAATCAAACAACAGTTGTCCTTGCTTTTGTACTGTTTACTTTGCAGAATACTGAATTTTTCAAATTAACAGTGTCTTTGCATCGTTAGTGTGAATTAACGAGATCCTAATGTAGCTGAATTCTTGTTGCAGTTCCTTCTTTAGGAATTGCAATTGGAGTAATAACAGCTGCTTAAAACTCCTGGGTGTAGATTTCTTCCTTGTTAATGATCTGTTCACTAATGATTTAGTATCTCTTGAGAATTTAGTTTTCAGTCTTGAGGTTGTAATATGGAGGAAATAGAATTACCTTTCATTCTTGCTCTCCAGAGTTATCTTGTCAAAGTAGAGCCATGCACACCCCGCTTTGCTGTGGCACTTTTTTTGTTCTTCCTTTCAGTTTTCAGTCGAAAAAGAAAACTGAGAGAAGCAACAAGGCCTACTATTCTTCTCGAACAGAGGCAGAATGGATGTGTCTGACATTAATACATCTAAATTTGCTATAGATATCTCAGTTATTTTCTCTTCCGAGACGGCTGATACCGTAGATATTTTTATGTAGTAAGTGCAAGCAAATGCTCTTTTAAATAGCTGCATTTTTTGCCTCCTGCTGAAAGAGTGGCTGTGTGGTTGTTTTGGAGTGAAAAAAGGCTGGGGAAATTAGTGGATCCTTACTGAGAATGTAGCATAAGAATCTGGATTTATTCTAATAATAATAATACACTTTCTGTGAGCGAGGCTGCAGGTAAACAATTTTCTTTTCTTTGCACAAGTAAAGCAGCAGCTTGTGGTGATCCAGCTGAGTGTGCGGAAAGCCGGCTCCACGGGTGTGAGTTGGACGGGTTCATCCTTAATTTGTCGGCTCGTTACAGTCCTTTTTGTTCAGAAAGGGAACAGAATCTGCAGAAACCTCTGCCTCGAAGAAGGCCAGTTTTATCCCGAACACGGAGAGGACTGTTAGGACAATGTTCTAAAGTCTGTGCTTGGAGGTTGGGCTTTTCTGCTTCCCCTTCCCTCCCTTCCCCTCCTCTGGAATAGTGACCAGCCAGCTTGTTCCTGGGTCCTTGAGCTGTAAACTGGGGAAGTGAGGATGCTCAGGCTGGGAGGAAGCTTTTTAGACTGTGATAAAAATCATAAACCACTGTTCAGATACTTCATTTATGGTAGGTAAATAGTGCACCAGTATTTGTCCCCTTTAATAATAGCTGGTTGTAAGTATCATGAGTAGTTTTCAGATTCATATTAGGCTTTGGAGATGGGCAGTCCTGCTCAGCAAATTTGGTTTTCTACTTCTTTCACGTTTACTTCATGACACAGGTATACACAGAGTTGTAGACATGCAAACTTAGAAATTACATTGTAAGCTTAGCGTGTTCTCATTTTAATTTAGGAAAATAAAGAAGCTGAATATGAAAAGCTGATCCTTGCTTTAAGAAAGGAACAAAATATTTATTCGACGCTAGTGAAGACCTTCAAAGAATCAGATAGGTAAGTAGCATTTCTGCTTTGGTGGGTAATTTAAAATCAAAGAGCAAAAGTCAGAAGTTGTGAAAAAAGGTGCAGCTTAACGGGAGTGGTGATGATTTTGTACCAGCCAATTATCATAAGAGAACTCCATGACTTTAAGGTCCCTTCCGACCCAAACCGTTCAGTGATTCTATAAACAAGGTGTAGTAGCCTCCTTAAAAGACAACTATTTTTGTAAGTGGGATTATATTATTAAATTACTTAAATGTTTCTGAAAATATTCCTGTTTAGATTGGGATCTCATACGAGCCAGATTTCCAAAGTACACAGGTAGGTGTTCAGCAGAGGTGTGTGTCCTGTGGTGGAATAGAGAGGAAAAGTCAAATCACAGTGAACTTTTGGGTACTGGACAATTTGTTGGGGTTTACTCCTAAAATACAGATAATGCTTATCTTAAAAGTGACACTCTGACAATTTTGATAAGAATATAAGCCAGTAAGATTTTGGAGAAGGTTAAACAAAACGGAATAATTGAAGCTTGCATGGTGTGCTTTCAGTGTAAGGCATTCAGAAGTTCAGCAGGAGCAAGTGTTTTTAAACCTTTTAAAATCAAAGAATGCAGCGTTTTAAAAATAAATTTGTGGCTTTTTTGTATGCTTGGCAGTTGGGGAGGTGGTGTTAGGATAAAATAAAGAAAATTCTTAGCCTTTCGGTGAAATAAATTTAAGCATTTAATAAAACATTTACTGTTACAATTACAAATATCTTAATTAGTTATTGGCAGCATTTGAGAGCCTGCTCCTGACTTGTCCTGCCTGAAGGCAGTGGCTCATACCTGCCAACTTGGTGGGAATGGGTGTTTGTATTTTGCAGTTGGTTTATAGACCACTGTAGTTTGGAAACCATAAAGTGAGGAGCACTGAAGTAGATGAGATTTGGTATCTAAATTAAGTGCATTTGTAATAATGGCATCTTGTTCTGGGCCACTGCTCAGGAGCTCTTCTCCATACTAGAATCTTTTTCATTAGAAATAGTGATAGAAGTCAGGTTATGGAGATTATTTCTTATCTCTGGGAAAAGAGCAATGGCTTTTGTGATTTTTCTGTTGAACAATCAGCAAATGAAAGAAGCAGCCAGTTGGTTTTAATATTTCATATGGAGGAGGTGACCTGGCATTCAAACACGTTCTGTGGGTAAGGAGATTGTCAACACTCTATGTAATAAGGACAACGAAGTATCTTTCAAATGAGGAAAATTATGACTGTAGTTATAATCATTAGAGTAATAGGAGTTTTCCAATTAACTTCTGTAGGATCAGCATCAGGATCATTAGTTCTGTTTTTTTGCTCTGGAGTTATGGGATGCATCGAGCAGTGCATGTTATGCAGTGACTTGCAGAGGATGCACAATGATTCAGGAGCAGAGCTGGGAGCTGGAGGCAGGTCCTCTCATTTCTTCTCCTCGTAGTGTTGTGGGCTGTAAGATGAGATGTGCTGTAAATCTCACCAGGGAAGACTTGAACCCCTGAAGTTCTGGGGAGCTGATAAACAAGCCCTGCAGATAAATTCACCTTCCTCATTTGTGTAACCGCCATCAGCAGTGACAGGGATTTTAGGCAAACATCTGTTTTCTTGATGACATATCTTCTTTTAGGCATTATTTATTTTAAGGAACCTGGATGGTTATTTTTCAAAATAAGCTACTGGATGTCAGGACCAAGACGTTCCTTGTCTCTTCAAGGAGGGAATCAATGCTTTTTCTTATAAAACATTTAACTCATGAACAGGAGAAAATGTGCTTACTTAGGTACAGCGTTGGTTTGTTTTTATTCTTAACTTTTTGCTGAGCATTTAAGAGCTCTCTCTTCAAAGATGCTCTTGAGTGAGGGAGAATGGGTTAAAGCAATAGTTTCTTGTGCAGGGAACACTGACAACAGCACACTTGTCAGAAGACAGACTGAGGGTCTTCTCATACAGGCTGTCTTTTAATTAATGCGTTCCTACAATATGCTGTTATTCTCATGCAAGTATGATGTGCTGTATGTTGCTGTAAGATGGATTGAAATTTTTTTAAAAGATTCCAGAATTCTCTGGCATTTGGTGCAGTGGATTGGAAATTCGACAGCGTCTTAATTTATCTTAAAACGCTGAGGTTCTGAGTGAAATAAATGTGAAAATAAATAATGCAATGAGTTCAGTAACACCTTGTTATTTATTTTTTATTTAAAGAAATTGATTTCATTTTATTACAATTTCAGTTTTTAGTGTGCTTCAGTCTTTTTGTGGACTGATGGGCACTGTCTTGTCGCTGTCGTTGAAGGGTGTGGGGACAATGTAGCCAGGGACAGCCACAGGTGCTGGCACCAGGAGGCCTGAGGGACAGGGACTGGTGCTCAAGTCAGAGCTTCAGTGACCACCTTGGAAGAAAGCTGCTTAAAGAATTAATTCACGTTTACAAATTCTCATTTGTAAGTTTTGGCATTTACACCCCATTGAGATAATTGAGGCAATTTAGACTTTAAAAGGTCTTTTTACAGACTGTGGGATAAATGAAGAAATAAAACAGTTGGTTCTGTCTGGGTCATATTTTCAATGAAACAGGATTATTTATTTTTTTTTCTTAAGTGGAGCATAAGATTATATAGTATAGTTCTGTAGCAAGGGAACAAAGTTTCCATGGTCACCATATAATAGAATACACAGAGCCATCAGTATTATGTGATAGTGATATTTTTCTGGCATACTTTTCAGAAGTTAGTAATTTTGATTTTCCTTTAAAAAGAATTACACAAAAGTTGGCTGGTAGAATATACCTGTCATGTTTCAGCTGATTTAGAAGCAACACAGCTCAAAAAAGCAAGAAAAGGCCGAATATGTAAACGTTTAGTCTCTTTTTTTCTATGTGGGATTTGTTTGTTCTTATGTATCAAAATCCTTTAAGTGTGTGATGAAAAGCAGTGATGGCTCCTGTGAAATGGGCTCTTTCTGGAAGCCTGGCTGTATAAAAGGTGCTGAGATGCACAACAAAATGTTTTGAATTGAATGTTGAAGATATTTTTTTTTCTCCTTTCTTTTAGCATAAATAGCTTGCAAACAGAACTGAACAACATTTTCCTGTTGCGAAAACAGCTAGAAGAAGATGTTTTAGCTAATCGTAATCTGCAGAAGGTCTTAGAAGATCAGATTAAGGACATGAAAAACCGACAAGGTCTGTATACGTGTGCAGCCCATCCCTTTTCTTGGTATTCTTGCCCCAAAAGAAAACTGGTTTTATTACAGTCAGTTTGCTGTGATGGAGAAGAAACGTTTGAGAGTAGAAGAAGGTGTGAAAAGACTTCTTTTCAGCTTTCTATACTGAGAATTATTTGGGGGATTTGTAACAGAATGTCTTTGAGCAATCAGGGCATATAGAGGAAGACAGCTTTTCTCTTTCCATGCAGCAAATGTTAGTAATTCTATGGCAATTCTGCTGCAGTGATCATTTCAAGCTGCCTACAGTTTTGTACCCATGGAATTTACTGTTTTGTGCAGAACTTGGTGATTCCTGGCTTTGAATAAATCTGTGGCCTTGGGATCACTTTATGTAATTATTTCAAAATATGTTGGTAAAGAGGTTGTCTCAGGAAGTAGCCAGACTCTTCCTAGTGGAATAAATGTTTCCAGAGAAAGAAAAAATAGCCAGAAGTTTTGTTATTTTGTAATTCATAAATAGTAGAGCTTTTAAATATAACGTCTCTTTTAGCTTTTTTTATTGTACTACTTTGGAGGTGGTTTTAGGATATACTTAGATATGAATCTAAATGGACATTTTTAAATGTAGTTGACATGTACAGAGGTATCTATTTTATTCCATAAGGGATTATATAAATAACAATAAAGCCTGTTCACTTACCCCTTTCAACTTAGATTGTCAATTTTAGCATCGCTCCCTTGACAGCTCTGATAAGTGACGAAAGTTAAGCTTCTGCTGTTTTGGAGTTTCCAACCCCAAAAGCAGAGACTGATGAAGGACGAGGTTGGGCCAGAGGGGCTGGTGGGTGCCCTGGGGTTCTGAGGAGCAGTGGGATCACGGGTGAGGCTGCTGGGAACGATGGCTGTGAAAATCAGTGACCATTTGTGAAGCTCTGGGTCCTTGCAGCAGCCACGGGATCGGTGTCAGAGCTGGGAGTGGGGTCTGGGTGTCTCTTAGTCCTAATTTAAGTATTCTTTCTCCCTGTCTAATGAGATGTATTTATAGAATTAACTGTCATCTATATTGTAAATGAACAGGTGTTTATTGGAACATAAAAAAATCATTCCTGCAGTTACAGAGGAATGAATAAGTAGCTATTTTCAATTCAATTAATGCAGTCTTTTGACCCAAAAGGCAAAATAAAATATATAACTTTGTCTAATGCGGCTTTTTGCCTTGAGACGCTGAGTTCATGCTCATAAAAATATAGTTAAAATGGAATAACTATTCATGCCTTACTTATCCTTCCTAGAAATTATTTCTAATTGTAATGCTAAATATGCAAATTATGATTCAGAATTACAATCGCCACTCATGCTGATAACCACAGAAAATACAGCCACTGAAAATACAGCATGTCTGGGTGTCAGAAGCACAAAGAAATACGAGGACAAAATTTGTTCAATTAAACAGAAAGCTTATTTTGGGGAATGAAACATTTTAACTGGCCTCCCACAGACTTACCAGTAGGTTCTGATTCAAAAAGTCCTGTCTTTGCACTTTCTGCGGTGTTTTCCTGCAAATAGAGTTTCTGAAATAATTCCTGTCCTTGGTTATTTTGACAGATGAAACACTATCTTTCTGTGGAGACCAAACATCTTATATGAGTATCTGTTTAGGAGAGCAAGATCATTTAAGCCTACAAATAGACCATCTGTCTCTTGAAGAACTCAAGAAAAAGGTATTGATCTGTTTTATTATTTACTGTTTCTAATGGCTTAATTCGGCTTCATTTATAGTTTATGCATCTCTCACAAAAAGAAGCATTTTCATTATTTAGATACAGTTGGGTAGTTCTGAAAGGACTTGATGGTCTTGTCTCTGTGGTTTGTGATCCACCTTTTATGAACTATTTATTTTCTGTTACACCGCATGAGCTTCAGAGTCAGGTGAGAGCCAGGGGGGTTGCTGCAAAAGTTTTACAATAGTTTGACTCCTGGATTCAAGTTCCAGACTCAATATAATATTCTAGTCATCATGAAATATACCGGCTCCAAAGAAAATTTTTTGTTAAGTATCCTGCAACGTGTGTGCACCTTTCTTAATCATGAGGATGGTGGTGGTGGCTATAATTTTACCTCTGTATAGCACACCCCATCCCAGGATTTGCGTATACTGGCTCCAAAGAAAATTTTTTGTGTTAAGTATCCTGCAACGTGTGTGCAACTTTCTTAATCATGAGGATGGTGATGGTGGTTATAATTTTACTTCTGTATAGCACACCCCATCCCAGGATTTGCAGATTTTTGGTAAATATGGCATGTAATAAACTAACTCTGAGGTAAGTTAATATTGTCTTCGTTCTACATAAGAACTGAAATTCAGAGATTAAACATGCAAAACATCATCATACCATAAATCAGTATTGGAGTTCGGAAACTTGTTCTTTTGACTCCTCATCCTGTGCAGTGACCACTGATCCATGCACCAATTTACAATTCTTAATTATTTTTGAATACGGTCGTTTGGGAGTGAACATAAGCGAAGTTCTCTATTTCTCATGACCAGCTGAATTGTAGGCAGGTGTTCAAAACCTGGAGGTGGGTAACCTGAAGGAAAGAAGTTTGCCTTATGCTGAGCAGGTGTCAATAAAAAAGCCCCAGATTGTGTCCCAGTCCCATTCTGGGGTTGAACCACTTTTGTCTCAGTACTTTCAGGGACACTTATTAGCAAAAGACATTTATAAAGACATGTATAAACCACTTCTTACTCGTAAAAGGGTTTGTGTGCCTGAAAGATGATCTGGTTTATCCAAATATGTTAATCAGTTTAATAAAAAGATTTCACTTTCTTCTGCAAACATTGTCTTCTTGAGACAGTAATGTCTGCTCAAGGGTTTTGAACATGGTTGTCCATTCAGATTTTGTATCTTTGAAACGACTCAGAATGACAGTGGCTTATATAGGGTGTTTGAGATGGAAGAACAGGTTGTTTCCAAATGCTGCTATTTCTCTCTAATGCTGGTTTCCCTTGCGCTGAAATGTTTCTTCTCAAATCAGCCTGTTGGTTTGAGGTGCCCTCAGGTTTCTTCTTGCTACTGAGTTGTAAAACTTGATACCTCAGCTTAATAAAATGGCTGGAAACTACAGTCTTGCAAGTTAAGTTTTCTTCAGCACTGACTCTCAGATATATAATCATGTTTTCATACATAGGGAGATTGCCTCATGCACAGATACAGAAGCCCAGGCTTTTCAGCTCTGCAGTTTAGATTTAGCTGGAGATTTGTATCTCATAATTTGTTTTCTTACTAGTATGGATGTTACCAGTTTCACTTGTTCTTCCTTTGGTTATTTAGGTTGCTGATCTTCTTTTGATGGTTAAGGATCTGCAGTCAATTAATCAAGAACTTAAGAAAAAACAGCTTGGACTTTGTTCGACAGATTCTCAAGGGAAGGAAGCACTAAAAATATTAAACCACAGTGAGGTAGGTTTTCTGTGTTAAAGTAGTGAATCTGACTCTCACATCTCATATACCTTGTGGAATCACTTACATCAGTGCAGAATGAGTGTAAAACCCTCGGGGCTTAGGTTGCTAATTCCTTATAATAACTTTTCAAATTAATGATGTAAACACCTTTAAGATGTTATCACAACAGAGATGTGTGTGTTCAGTGATGTGTCAAGTTGATTTTAAGGAAACAGCTTATACATGAAAATATTAATTGGGTCTGTGATATATTTGTTTTGCCAATTGAAAGGGGAGGAAATAGTTAGTTTTACAAATAAAGCAGTATCTTATATAGCATTTTCGCTATTACTGAATATCTGCTGTTCAAGAGTCATTCTCATGCTGTGTCTAATTCTGTAAGAGCTCAGTTCACGTCTCCTCTGCATCTACAAAACAACTAGGGTTCACTGTGGCCAAACCAGAAAGAACAGCACTTTGGGTCTTTTAAACATGTCGTTGTTTCTTCATGTAGAATACAGAAGTAGGTGAGGAGGTGGCCAGCATTGTGGTAGGTTGCTGAGAGCTGCAAGGCAGTAATGGATGTTGCATTCTTTTACCCAAAGCCAAGACTGCTTTTTGCTGTGGGGAAGAAGAGATCTTGGCAAAATATCTTCCACTGAGAAGCATTTTGGGTGCTGGGTCCCCATGTGTGAATGCTGAAGGATGTTCAGGAGGCTCTGGTAGATTCTAGTGAAGCTTCTAGCTTGTTATAAAGTAGTACTTGAAATGGGGCTGGTAGTACTTTCTTTATATTCTGTTGTGCTTTTTGCTTTCAGCTACATTGTTCTTGTTCACCACATGTTGAATAGGAAGGTAAAAATACAAAAGGAGTAATGATGGTGCTAGTCTTTGTGTCTTGAATTTCTGAATTAAACTCGACAAAAAGTTAGGAATAGTTTGGGTCAGTTATGTGTAGGGACTGGCTAATTTTAGAGCTGAGACTGTGGTATTTATGATTTTTCTGCAATACAGTTTCTGCAGGACTTTGTGTGTGCTGCAGATGCACTGAGGACAATCATCAAAAGTCATTAAATATTCTTGCTTTTTCAATTTCAAGGCGTACTCATATAACCTTTAATTGAAATACTTTTTAAATTATAGATCGACCTTTAGGGGTGCCGTAGCTTTTATTAAAATAATGAATTCACGTGTTACTGTAATAGGTTTGCACAAAAAGCTTGTGGGCAATGTGTTTCAGAGTCCGTGCACCTTCTGTAAATTAACATTTCTAGTAATTAGGCTCGTCATCCTGCAGAGGGTGCTGCACCCCCACTCATGCTGTAGTTAATGCCAAAGGAATTTGTATCCCGTGCTAAGATTATCATGACAAGATGCTGTGGGCTCCTGCATTTCTCTAGGCATGAAAAGAACATATAGGGCTTAAGGTATATTTAAAAAGCTGTCTGTGGGAAATTAGATGTAGAACGACAAGGTGTGAAGCTTGTAAAATATAAATAAACCTCAAAATTCTGGTACAGGAAAAAGGAAAGTAAAATACTGTGTTTTAACCTGTGCCAGAATGATAATAGTATGATGGAGCTCAAAAGGGAAAAAATCTGTAATTAGAAGTTTTTTAGTTTAAAAGGTATCATTTTATCAGTCTTGACAATAAATGGCAACCTGGATTTTGGGTTAGGGATTGTGACAACCATGTGTTTTGCATATTAATAAGCATTGTCAAAAAAACCTAAGTTCTATTTTTTTCCTGTGTATTTTGGGCTAGAATTTGTTGGCAGGTAGCGCCGAGATGACACTAACATATGTGCTATAGGAGGAATTTGGACAGACACAGGAAGATGTATCCTGCTCGGGTTCTTCAAATGAACCCATCTCTCTTTTCTTTCACAAACCCAGAGCACAAATGAGCTGAGTCTGGATGTTGGTGCCTCTGCAGGGCATCTCCCAAAGGCCTGACAACCCCCAGTACTCTTATTTCTCGGCTTCGTGTCGGGAAGGGAGGGAGAAGGAGGAGAGAAAAAGGTTGTTTTTGTACTGTCCTCTGAACATCTGCTTTCTCTGAGAGAAGCAGCCTCGGTGATTTCAGCCTTCAGGGCTCCAGGGATCTTTGCAAACCAAGCATATCAGTGGTTCATTTAGGAAAAACATTCTCAAGGTTTTCAGTCTCCAAGGAAATACTTTAAACAGGCGACTTATTCTTGGTAGACTTCTTTTCTGGCCTTAAGACAGTTATTTTCTTTGAATATTTTGTTGAACGTTAGGTCAGATTCCTTGGAGCACAGAAAGTTTCTTTTCAGCCTCTCAGACACAGAGAGGACCAGGCTCAAACTGCTGTCAGTTCTTGTAACAGTGAGCCATGACCTCTTGGTCTCATGTAAGAGTTTCAGTCTAAGAAACATTAATCACTTATTAAACCAAATACTGGCCTGGGAAAAGCATCTGCTAAAAAATGTTGAGTCATAAAAGGTAGTTGCACCGGGTGAGTAAGTTATATGTGCAAATAAGTTTATTTTTAATACACAGGGTTAATCTTGAATCTACACATGGAAGATTAAACCTTAAGAGTGGTTTTTTTTTTATAATAGTTAACATCATTGGACTTTTGGCATCCCATAATTACAATGAAAAGATCTCGTTATAATGTATGCCCTTGCTATAGACCACAATCCTATCTGTGTCTTCCTCCAGTCCTAGAAAACCAAGTCTGAGCGAGAATACCAATTAATTCAAACATGGCTTGGAAGTTAATTTTCAATATAGATTTCTAATAGTAGAAGGCAAATATATTAATATGCTGCACCATCCGGTTTCTGCCTCTTAAAATTCATACTTAAAACCATTAGAGTTGCTTATACTGCTAGGGATTGGAAGATAAAAAGGCTTTTCTCATTTATTTCACAGATATATATATTTGGGCATACATTCTGTGCATACTCAATTAAAAAATCAAAACCCACACGCGCATTCAATTCCCAGTGTTCTTAGAAAGTAAAAATAACGTTTCCTGCAGAATCCTGTTTGTCTGGAACTGGACTGATGACCTGTGAGATGGAGCTTTCCAGCCTGTGATACTGGGGAAGCAGCTTTCTCTTTTCATGTCACCAGTTTCAGCCCCGCGCTGTGCGTCCGTCGCAGCTATAAATATCCCATCCACAACCCTCAGACACCAGCTCCTTTCCTTCAGTCTGTCATTATAATCTCAATTTTCTGTAAATATGCTCAAGATTCTGCTTTTCTTGTCTTAAGGTAATTTTTCTTCAGCCCAAGTCACACCAAAATATGACTTAGCACAGAACAGTGAACAGGTATATTATTGCCACAGGTGCTTTAAGACTAAAATTTTGATCTAATGCAAGTTTTATTCCACTGTGCTTTATCCTCCCCGTGGTTTGGATATATTAGGCATGGCATAGTTGATATTTACCATCACTCTTGCGTGTTTCTACTATTTAATGAGATTCTAGCAGCAAAGATCTTAAATATTTATCTTTTTCTATTAGATTCGGAAATGTTGCTATAAAACAAGATGATATAAGTGTGCAATCTGGTGGAACATGGTAACTGCAGGTCACTCGGGATGGATCCCAAAGTGGGATGAAAGGCTGTCCTTTTACTCAGGTTGTTTTCTGGCAGGCTGTGCCACAGCGTGGCTGCTGAATCTAATAATTCTTTGTAAATATGAGTTTTTCTTGTGATCAGTATTAAACTGACATGGGCAAAGCCAAATTCTGTCTTCTGTTGCCAGAGGAAACTGAGCAGTGGAGGTGAGTTGTAAGAGAGGTGAAAATATTCTCCGTGGTCTGGGTGTGAATGCACCTCCCTCAATAGTGACCTTCACTGCTGCTGAGGGAGGAGCAGCACCTGGATCTCCTCCCAACCTTGCAGGTCTTCTCCTGAGATTTAACATCCCAGCAAACCAAAGGGATCCTGGTCCTGTTGTCAGTTCTGCTGATGGCAGGAACTTGGGGTCTGCTTGCTAAAAAAGCTCAGTCTTCCTCCTCCTCTTTGCTCAGCGAATATTAGTGATGGGAGATGGATTGGGTTCTGTAGCAAATAGGGAGAAAAAGATGATTTGGCACCATATACCACAATTCGGCAAATTTAGGCAAGATAAAGCAGATTGTAACCTTCAGTGTTACAGTAAATCTTTTCAGTGTACAGCGAGCTACTTGTGCTTTGTTTTAAAAGCATCTATCTCTTGGGTGCTGGAGAAGAGCCTAAATTGTGTAGCAAATGAAAATAAATTCTGGAAATTGGGAGATAAAATAGGCACGATGGGAACATGGGGGTCCTTTGCCAGAAGAGGTTAAGTGATTTTTATACTTCTTGTAAATGCTGAGGAGAAAGGGTTAAATAAAAATGAAGGAATGTATAAAATAAAGTGTCGCAGTATTTAATGAGAGTTATTCCTGGGTTTTGTTTTAATTTTCTTTGATCTTGTTGAAGAAATCTAATTCAGTGTTTGTTACTTTGTATTACAGGCTTTTTTTGTTTTTCTTTTAAGACATGTCACTGACTTATTTATGCACGTTTCATATCACAGTATTTTTTTTTTGGTGCTACATTTTCACATCATTCCATACTTTGTGTAGTGTCTTGAAATAACAGCGGAGCCTGTGCTGCAGATGGGTGATGGTGACAATGACAGGAAGATGCAGAACAGTCAGTTTTCTGAGAGGGTCAGCCAGGTAGGACTCTGCTCTGGGTACATAATGTTACAGTACTGTTTTCTCTGCGTGCCTTTCAAAATCCTTATTTTCTTAGAACACAAAGTCTTTTGCAAACAAAGCATACTTTTCTCGGGATTTGATTTTGCTTGTTATAATTGTTATCCTAGAGAGTTTCTGAAAGCTTTTTGCTATATTTTGCTGCTGATAGGGTTTTGCAGCTTTCATTCTGGTCCTTGTTTTCTTGTTTGAGTGCTCATAATCTTCCTTAATTGGGATGACAAAAAGTCCCTTGAAATTGTGTTTCTTTACATACACATACACTGATCTTCAGCCTCCATTGCAGTCAGGCTTATGGTACAAATTGTCATAGAATCATAGAATGGTTTGGGTTGGAAGGGACCTTAAAGATCATCCAGTTCCAACCCCCTGCCCTGGGCAGGGACACCTCCCACCAGACCAGGTTGCTCCAGGCCCCATCCAGCCTGGCCTTGAACCCCTCCAGGGATGGGGCAGCCACAGCTTCTCTGGGCAACCTGTTCAAGGGTCTCAACACCCTCACAGCAAAGAATTTCTTCCTGAGATCTCATCTCAATCTATGCTCTTCCAGTGTGAAGCCATTATCCCTTCTCCTATCCCTACGTGCCCACATGAAAAGTCCCTCTCCAGCTTTTTTGTAGGCTCCCTTCAGATACTGGAAGGCCACAGTAAGGCTTCCCTGGAGGCTTCTCTTCTCCAGGCTGAACAACCCCAACCCTCTCAGCCTGTCTTTGTAGCAGAGGTGGTTCACCCCCTGAGCATCTTTGTGGCCTCCTCTGGATACACTCCAACCTGTCCATGTCCTTCCTGTGTTGAGGGACTCCAAAGTGGGACACAATACTCCAGGTGGGGGTCTCACCAGAGCGGAGCACAGGGGCAGAATCATAGAGTGCAATTAAAATTGAAACTTCCTGGTTGAAAAATGATAACATGCTATATAGTATGGTGCAAAATGGAGCATTTTGATTATTAACGTTGAAGAATAATGATGTTCTTCTATATTTGTAATGTCTGTCTTTCTCTGTTTACTAGGTATGCCTTCAAGTGTCTTTGGATTTTCCTTCTGAGGTGGATAAACAAGTAAGTGATGTGTTGTAGAGGTTCTCTTGACTCTCAAACATCTTAATCTCTTGGACCTGGTATCTACTGGTGGAATTTGTATCCAAATGAGCCCAGTATGAATTCTAACATAATTGATACAGGAGACTTTCACTGATTTTAAATGGCAGTTGAATTACTGGAGAGAACCCATGTAGATTTTTCCTAGGACACATCTGTGGTGTTTCATACAAAAAGTTGGCAGTTTTTAAATACTTCAAGTTGCATCCTGTCCTGGCCACCAGGGAGGGCATCTGCCAATCCCAGGCCAGAATTTGGTACTGTAAATACCACCAAGTCAAAGGTGAAGTTAATAAAAAGTTACCTGCAATCTGCAGGCAACATTCCAGAAGTTTCATACCTCTTCATAGACAAAGACCTTCAGGGAAATCTACTTACTACTTACTAAACAACTGATCACTATGAATTAATCATATGAAATAGATGTTAATTAGTTTTTCTATTAATAAATAGTAAGTGAAATGTCTGTGGATGCTTCTTAATGTAGATAAAGAGCAGCAGGAATTACAAAACCTGATTACAAAAAGATTACAGCCCTGAATTTATTAGAACATTACATAGCTGTGTCATAAGGAAATGTTGGTATTTTTTTAACAGATAACTCCATCAGGCTGCTCAGAGAGTTTCTGCAAAGATAGACTTTACAGGAGTCCAAATAACCCTCAGTTTGAACACGATACAACTGGCAAACACTTTGGCAGAATAGGAATGGGTGAACATGAAACAGAAGAGAACTTGCTCACGTCTCTTTTAAGAGAAAATGGAACATCTGTACTGGAATCTACGTAAGTATGAGGGATATGCACTGCTTTTGACAGTATTTCTATTTGAGAAGAGAATAAAGTAATTTTGCTAAAGTGAATTTAGATAATGGCACTGTCTAATTTACCTGAGAGATTGGCAAGGCGCCTTCAGAGCCATTTTAGTCTATCATGCAATTAAGTAATTAGGAAACATACTATCAGTAGAAATCCTTATGAAAAACCCATTACAAGAAAAAAACCTCTCCAAAGTTACCGATATACATACAGAGCTTTACTGTAGGGGCTGATTGTTTTCAGGATGGGGTCTAGCAGTGTTAAAGTGCTCAGATGATAATAAGGAGTATTTAAAAAAAGAAATAGACTATGTGGGAGCAGAGGGCAGTGAGAGGTGCTGTGGTGGAGGGGGCGACGTGGCTGCTGTAAAACTGGTCTGTGTGAGGAGCTGAGGGTGGAGGAGCTGAAGTTGTAACGACTGTTTTACAGGATTAATTTTGAGTTATGCTTTGTGGCCTTTGCCATTTCATCTGAACTGCTTGGGCAGAGGTTTCATCTCTGTCAGCAGTTTCGGGAGTCTGGGCCCAACCAATTACTTGACTAATTGGTTATTCCAGTGTAACCACATGTAGGGTCCTGCTGAGAGGAGCTACGTTGTAAGTACTTAGGTCACTTTTCATGCAGGAGAAAATACTTGTGTAACTCAATCTGTGTAAGCCCTGTCTAACAAATGTTTTTCGAGTGTGTATGTGTTACACTGTGGTTTGATCAATTCCCAGCTGAAATGCACATTTAGTGTGTGTGTGTGTGTGTTACACTGTGTTTTGATCAATTCCCAGCTGAAATGCACATTTCCATAAGAAGGGAACAACAACAATCAAAAAAGGGTGTATAGAAAAACCACACCCTGGCGGGTTTTGTTTCCCCAAATTTCATGCTTACATCGCTTAATCTCCTGGCTGAAAACTGAATTAGAGCTTTGCTGGAGATAATTCTCATTTTCCTGTCCTAGTTCTCTCCACACTGTAATGACTGTGCACAGTGTTACTGGACTTTTTTCAGTGCCTGTCAGTGTTGTTCCTTCAGCCATGGTGGCTTCTGGAGAATGATGGGAATGACCTTCCACATGTGTAGTGCTCAGCAGTGCTGGCAGCAGAGCATCTTGTGGAATTACAAAGCCAAATCCCATTTTCTGTGTTCAGCACACACTGCACTTGCCTTTACTCAAGCAATTCTATATTTTTACATTACTATTTAAAACTCTCCAGCAGGCATAAATGCTCTTAGTTGTGGAAGCACTAATTAGTGGTAAATGAGGAGATACTACTGTCTTAGAAGATGAATAAATAACATTGTTTTATTTGTTAACTTTACTTAAAACTCTGCTAATGAGTGATTCCAGCACCATCATCTTTACCACTCTAGTGTGTAATCTTTTCTGTGTTCAAGTATAAATGACCAGATTGACTGCGGCTGAGCCTGTACTTTGCATAACTTAATTCTCACTAATGACATTAGGTGCCAGAGAAAGACATAAAAAGCCTAGTTAGCTTCTACCATTTCAAATGCTGGCTAGACAAATGCAGTTGTTTTAAATGCTGCTTTATATGTTTAGTGGCACAAACAGCTCTCTATTGGCCACATGAAATCATCTGTAGATTTGAGGGCTTGCTCGTGCTTTAAATTTTATTTGGCTTCAGTTTCTCTTAAAACATTGCTTTCCAAACTATTGTCCATGGTCACTAGTTACCTGAGGGATGGTTTGGTGGTCGTAGTGAGCTGGTTTTGCAGGCTTTGGGCTGCTTTCTCAGTTTCCATCTTCGGTGTTACATTAGAAATACATGAGGGGATAAATTTTCAGGAAAAACTCAACATCTTAGTCTCCTGTGGTTTGGGTAGAATTTTTTTTTTAAGGTAGTTCAATCAGAGAGTAAACTCTCCTGAAAACCCATTCCTATTTCTTACATTGCTACGTTCTGTAAGGAATTGATTTCGTTACTAGAGATTTAGTAGTTGTTCATGAATGGGGAAAGGGGCTGTAGAGCACATATGGCCGTACATAGGAGAAAAGCATTGATGAGATAATTTATGATATAACTGAAGTTGTGAAAAGGTTTCAAAAACTCAAGTTCGTTAGTAATTCGTTAGTGAGTAAAATGGAATCCCCTGGGAATTTCAAATGTGTTGAGACACAGCAAAGGAGTTTCTTAGAAGGTCTGCTTGTTTGCTTAAATAAAAATCAAAATTCATGCCTTTTCCTTCCTCCTTCCTGAGTATAGCAGACAAGAACAAATGAAAACTGTAAATGAACTGTTAGATCATCTGAACACAACTGAGGAAGAAGATACAGAGAAAAAGGATGAAACAGATCTTAGGCAAATGATTATTCAACTAAGAGCTGAACTCAAACATTTCAAGCAGGTCAATAAATTCTTAAAGCAGCAAGTGGAATTGAAATCAACTTTTGATGGAAAAGAGAAGCTTTATCCAGATGCAGTGCCACAGATTAATAAGGATATCGAGTTGTTGAAAGTAGAATTGAAAGATGCAGCTACACAAACAATGACTTTAGAGAGTAATGTCATGAGATTCAAACACGAAGAGAAAAAAGAAGCCTCAGAAGACAAAAAAAAATATTCAAGATTAAATGCAGAAAGAGAACATCAGCAAGAAAGTGTGTGTAAGAAGGGTGAACAGCATGAAAGACTTTTTTTTACAAGGAGAACAAATGAAGTAAGTTTATTTAAGATTCTCTTTTTGGTACTTGGGGAATAGATGTATAAAAGAGAAAAACATGTTTCATTTCTAATATTAAATCTTGCTTTTGTGTAATTTTTAAAATTAGAAAAAGAGATGTAAGCCAAATATATTTTAGATAATTGTTCTAAATGTTCAGAGCTTTTCATCATGTACTTCAGTGTGCTTTAGAACATTAATTAATTGAATTTCAATCCTCACTGGGAGCAGATACTAGTAAATATTACAGCTTTGCAAAAAGAGGTGGTTTATACGGAATGGCCTGATTCTGTACTACCTTATAGCTGTGCAGAGATGTTCATAACTTGCAGAACCAGAGCTTTCTGCCCTGATAAGTCTGAATGGCAGATGCCTTCTGGAGAATGGAAGACTTGCCTGATGTCAGAGAGCATGCTGGAGAGGAGGTAGTGGTAGATTTCAACAAACTCGAACCTTCATTTTAGGCTTTTATGAACATCTCTTCGTTGTGTCTTGCTCTTAGAGAAGTATTGACCAGTTTTGCTCTGTAAAACTCTTTGTGCTTGTTTGGAACCTAAGTGCCCAGAAGCTGGTTTGTGAGTACAGACGTTAATTTGCTTCTCCCAGCTAAGTCGTCACGCCTGTTGTGTGCAGCAGCCTGTGATCCCAAACAAAGGGGTGGGGAAACAGTGTCTGCTTTTAAAGAGTTCCTGTGTATTGTTTCAGTAGCAGTTAGAGAAGTGAAATTGAAAACTCTTTAAAGATCTTGGCTCTTGCAGAGCAGACAGAGGAGGGTGTTGCTTTTGATTTTGTGCGCTGCTGCTCGAGAACGTTGTGGCACCTTCTGCAAAGGGTGGTTTCCATGACTTAGTGATCAGAGATTTCTGGGAGCCAGCAATTGGGAGCAACTCATTTCTATTCTGGCTGGTTCTTGTTGGATTCATTTTTCTGAAGGAAGGGGCTTGTAAACCAAGAGAATTTGATAAGACTTTGTTCTGTACAGGCATAAATATTTCAGTATAGTTTGGGATTTTAAGGAAAAGATTTTGGCATGCACTGTTGGTCCCTGGCAAACCCCCTGAAAATTCATGCCAGTCTTAGCAATAGATTATGATACCCCTGAAAAATCAAAACCTCAGTAACTCACAGAAACTATGTGATGAAACCCAATGATTTACATGTAACCAAAATCTGTCAGAGTATCCTTAGCTACATTCTTACTCTTTTAAGCTTTCCTTATTGACAGTATATCTACCTATTAAAAAAATTATGTTTGGGGAGGAAAGAGGATAATAGTGGAAATGTTCTTGGGCTGTTGTTAATGTTCTTAGTCTATTGGGCATTTGGGCAGTGTTGGCAGGTTTACTGCTCTGATGGCTCCTCCTGCATCCTTGGGATGCTGTGGCTGGGCTCAGGACAGGAAGGAGTGGATGGTTGTGCTATGTTGGTGCCGTCCCGAGCTCCAGGAGCACATGGATAGATGAGGGCAGGGGGAAGGCAGAAGAGTGAAGATGAGGAGTAGAGGGGGAAAAAGGGCTGAGATCCTGGCTGGGCTGTTAATGAAGATCTACTTATGATGGTTTGCTTAAGAGCACTAGTGATGTCTTTGAGTTGCTGGTCTCATCTCTCAGGAATGGAGGACGAGTGAAGGTCTGTCTGTCCTCCATAGGGAGTATCTGGAGTTCTCTCTGCAATTCTCTATTTCACATTCCTGTTTTTCCCTGAGTTTCACTCTGCTGTTTTGATTCATCATTTTCCAGATTTCTCTCTGGTTAAATCAGTTACAACCTCAATGCAATCCTTGAGTTAGATGCTTTAGAAGCTTTCTTGTTTGGACTAATGCAATGTATCTTTGGCTTCTGAATGGCTTTTATAAATCATTTCATGTAGCTGGCTGAGCTGGCCTGTGGGCAATCTGGGTGACGTATGTGTCTGTGCAACAGCCCTGAGACCAGCTGCAAGTCGTTCGACATCATTAGTTCAGTTTAGTAAAACTACCAGGAAGTTCATCCCACCTGGATTTATTTTTCGGCCTCCGAATGACACTGTGTTCATATATGTACAAAAGGAGCTGAGTATGTCATTAGGAAAATGGAACTTGCTTTTTATTCTTTTAAATTGTGTAAGGGCTGTAATTGCTAAGAAATGAACGTGGAAAGGTATTTCAGAATACATTGGGTGGTAAAAGGAATTACGGGACTTGTGACACTAGTGGAGCAAATGAACAGCAAAAAAAATAAACTAAATCTGTCTGAACATGCCATTATTGGCTTCTATTATTATTACACACAATTCCATAACTCATCAACATATAGCATGTTTTCATTTTTTTGGGTATCACAATGTTATGCTCTGTGGTTTAAACAAGGACACACTGATTTTATGCAGAGTATTCAAAAGGTGAGAGGCTAAAATGTAGTGACTTAAGAAATGTAACTTCTCCCTCCAACCCCAATGACGGAATATCCGTTACAGCAGGGAACAGGAATTCTGCAGAAGCAATTTATTGCGTGTCTGGGTGAAGAAGATGTTTGTGCTCATAAAAAATTTCTGTGTGGCAGAAAAAATTTCCTCTTTGACTGATGCAAATTGCTCAAAGGTATGAAACTGTGCTGGTATGAAGTAGTGTGGAGACAAAAGGAAGAAAGGAAAATACATTCCAGAAGAAAACACCTACTGATGCAAAGCCTTTGCTGGTCAATGGTGAATCTGCTCCATGAACTGGAGGCCATTCAAAAGCCTTTACTGGTCAAGTTTGAATCTGCTCCATGAACTGGAGGCCATTCACCGTGTGGCTGTGGCTGCGTAGGCAGCACTGCCAGAAAACTGAGCCAGTGGGATAGTTTTTTTTTCTCTCTGAATGTTTGTTTTCCATGTTGCAGGGATATTGAGATTGTATTTTCAAAGCTATTTAATGTGACAGCTGGCTGATGCTACTGGAAAATCTTTATTTTACCTGGAATTTTATTTTATTCCTCCTTTACTTGACTGTTACATACGAGCTACAAATCTCCTGTTTTATTCCATACCTTTTCCAGACTGATTCTGCTCACCTGCCCAAGAAGTCCCGACTGCCTGTTCTCTTAAAATCATCCAGACCTTTAAGAAATGTGCCTTTGAACTCCTGTATGAACAAGTCAGATTCACAACTCCAGGGTGATACCAGGACACCTCACGGAGGTCTGAAAGCATGTGAAGAACAAAACAAACAACTTAAGCCCCAAACAAATGGAGAGTTATCACTGAATGGGTCTGTAACTGAAGACCTTGAAGAGCAGCCTACACAGCAGTGCACGGAAAGCACAGCAGTGAGAGGTAAATAAAGAGCAGAAAGAGTGACTTGTGATGCAGCTTGAAATAGTGGCTTCTTTTCTCGTAGTAGAAAGTAAAACCAGATTGTTTTTACAGATGTACAAAGCTGCTTAATCTTTCGATTTTCTTGGGTAGGCAAATATATATGGATCTTGACACACATCCTTTTTTTTTTCCTTTTATCTTTGCTGCTGACATGTAAAACAGCTTTGTGTGTAATAGAAAGTGCTTTGTATACCTGGCATAAAGTATATAATAAATGATAGTTTCACAGGGTGCCCACACATGCACACATATATGTCAGTGTTTAGGTAAATGAAAGATTTCCTTTATATGATGCCACGTCTAACGAAACCTGTCTGTAATGGAGACAGGAAAGTTTAAAAATACTGTGCTTGTTTATGCTGCATAAAGCAGTTTTTCCAATATTCCACTGATCAGTCAAGTCATCCGTGTCTGTTCCCAGCGTGGCTGGGTTAATTTAAACTCAGTTGTTGACAAAGTATCTGGATCAGCAAAGTATGACAAATTGTAAGGCAGAGAACAATGGATATTGTATAAAGATTTGGAGTGGTAAAAAAAATAAAAATGCGCTTAGCAGTTAGATTAAAACTAAGTAGAGATGTGAAGGATGGGTGGGGGAGAGAGGAGGCGTAAATATATGAAATAAGATTCAATCAAGAAGCAAGTGAGCCACTGTCAAACACAGAGGTTGCAGAGGCTTTGGTGGTGGTGCTGATGTTACTGTGGTAAGGGAGAGATATGGCACAACTTTATTGTAAATGCTCAAGCTGATAGAACAATTAGAGCAATTAGCTTTGGTAGGTGCAAAACCCATGGAGAATTCTGAGATGGGAAGTGCTGCACTCCTGTGGTTTCCTTTCCAGGTGGATTTCTTTTCCCTGGATCACAGTTGTACCACAGTTAGTCATTCTGAGACCTGATGCAGTGGGAGATTGTGGGAGATTATTTTATGGACAATGTTTGTATTGAAGAAACTTCTTAGCCTTTTCTCTAAGCTTAACATAAAACATTTAAAAACGCACTAAAAATTAATTAACTGTTACATTACAAAGAGGGCGTGCAAATGTTTATTTTCATTTCTTGGTAGGAAGCCTTTGCAATTCACATTCTTAGTAGTTATCATTATAATTATTTCAAGTATTATAAAAATATGTGCAAACACTGTTTCATGTCATCGGTGATGTTTGTATTACATTTACAATAGTTAAAATCATAGCATGGTTAGAGTTAGAAGGGACCTTAAAGATCATCCAGTTCCAACCCCCTGTCCCGGGCAGGGACACCTCCCACCAGACCAGGTTGCTCCAAGCCCCATCCAGCCTGGCCTTGAACCCCTCCAGGGATGGGGCAGCCACAGCTTCTCTGGGCAACCTGGGCCAGGCTCTCACCACCCTCACAGCAAAGAATTTCTTCCTAATATCTAATATAAATCTCCGCTCTTTTAGTTTAAAACCATTACCCCTCATCCTACCACTACATTCCCTGATTAAGAATCCCTCCCGATCTCTCCTGTAGGCCCCCATGAAGTACTTGAAGGCCATTATCAGGTCTCCCTTGTCTTCTCCAGGCTGAACAACCCCAACTCTCTCAGCCTGTTTTTGTAGGAGAGGTGCTCCATCCCTCTGATCATTTTCATGGCCCTCTGCTGGACCTGTTCCAACAGGTCTATGTCCTTCCTGTGTTGAGGACTCCAGAGGTGGACACAGAGCTCCAGGTGGGATCTCATGAGAGCAGAGCAGAGGGGCAGAACCACCTCCCTTGCCCTGCTGGCCACACTTCTCTTGATGCAGTCCAGGATGGGGTTGGCTTTCTGGGCTCCCGGTGCGCACTGCCGGCCCATGTCGAGCTTCTCTTGCTCAGATAATTTTCCTGTTCTAAATTGTCAGAACCAGGTTTGGTTTTGTGGTTGGGTTTTTTGGGTTTCTTTTTGACTAAACTCACTTCATGGGTTTTTTCAGTTACTTACTGATGTCTGTTTTACCTTCCTCTGCTGTTCTGCAGTTGACTCGTCACTCAAACTGGATAATAGTGAGGTCCAGGTCAAGTTGCACGTTGATCCCGATGTTGATCCAGATCAAGAGAATGAGAATGAATATGCGATGGACAAAAACCAGCAGAACTGCCAAGGTAGAGCACTTATATGGTGTAGTACATAAAAAAAGAAATTTTAAAACTGGTTTCTTCTGAATTGTGCAAAATTGTAAATTACTGCAGGTAATTGTCTCCCTTGCCATTATTTGTGGGTTTTAAATCTCGTTTTCTTAGCTAGTATGGATTAATTGCTCTAAGATTCCAAGTTCATCTTTTATTCCTGTTCTAAATTGTCAGAACCAGGTTTGGTTTTGTGGTTGGGTTTTTTGGGTTTCTTTTTGACTAAACTCACTTCATGGGTTTTTTCAGTCGCTTACTGCTGTCTGTTTTACCTTCCCCTGCTGTTCTGCAGTTGACTCGTCACTCAAACTGGATAATAGTGAGGTCCAGGTCAAGTTGCACGTTGATCCTGATGTTGATCCAGATCAAGGGAACGAGAATGAATATGCGATGGACAAAAATCAGCAGAACTGCCAAGGTAGAGCACTTATATGGTGTAGTACATAAAAAAAGAAATTTTAAAACTGGTTTCTTCTGAATTGTGCAAAATTGTAAATTACTGCAGGTAATTGTCTCCCTTGCCATTATTTGTGGGTTTTAAATCTCGTTTTCTTAGCTAGTATGGATTAATTGCTCTAAGATTCCAAGTTCATCTTTTAAGAGTTATGCTTTCAGCAGGGCCACAGGGATTTATGAGTCTGGTTTCCAGTAAAAATAATGAGTTGTGTGCCTAACTCTGATCTCTATTGCTAATGTCCTCGCTTCTGAACTCTTCTCTGAATTAAATGTTTGTTACTTAATGCTTCTGCATCTAGTTATGAACTATTAGAATGAAGCAACTGAATGATAGAATTTTGCTTATCTGAATTATTTGAAGGCATTCAACTAGGTTGAAACCTAATGGAATCGTTTAATGAAAATGTAAATAGGCTTAATGCTGTGTATTACATCTGCATCATCCATTAGTCTTTTTTGGGAGGCTTTGAATAACCTGGTTAACACGTGGTGTACAGAGTCCAGAGGCTATGGCCAATTTTGTACTCCTTGGTCACATCATTAATTTTATTTATATAAGTAGTTTCATTAAAGCCAGTCAGTTGGTTTGCAGGATCATGCTCTTTGTGTGCCCTTTGTGTGTGTGGACACATATATGCACAGAGAGCTTATTAGTTCTCCTTTAATTAAAGGGCAGTGTTTCATTAAAAACTATAACTGGGATTCTAATCAGAAATATTTCTTCCCTAATATCTGGCATTTTTTCCTGGTTTTGTTATCTCATTTGCATGAAATTAGGATTGCAGAGTTGAAGAGTTCTTGTAGTATCTGGGGTTTTTTTCCATCTCAGTCTGCAGCCTTCTTTGACATCTGTGTTACTGCAGCAACCAGCTGGGAGAGGAGGAGGAGAAGCTCGTGAACTTCAGGGTTGCTTTTCCCTTATTCAATGTGTCTCCTTGAATCCATACACGGGCATTTCCCTGGAAGCATTTGTGTCCCATGAATCTGTCGCCTTTGGAATTAAATAGATAAAGTTCTGCAAGAATATGTGTACTGCAGAGGCCATCATCTGGCCTTCATTTCAAATATGTTGATATCCCAATATTGCAGCTTCATTTTTTTTTCAGCTTTTAAGTTATATTTGGTTTTATTCTCCTGTGCTCAGGCTTGACTTGGTCCTTCATACACAGCTGTCCCCTCCCTGAGATTCTGTACTGATTTAGAGCTTGAGCCTGGGCATTGGAATTCTCCATGGAAACCAATTTGAAAGTATTAAGACCTCTGCAAGATCAATGAATTACTCCCAAAAGGGAGGTTCTAATTCGTAGTGATCTTTTGCAGAGCTAATAGGAGGGGAAGATTTAATTTACTGGTAACCAGAAAATAACCATTTTCTTACATAGTTACATGCAGCCCTCGACATACACAGAACTATAAAGATAGCATATATGTAGGAATATATAGGTTTTATTGGTCTGAATCTGGGGTGATTGCATTACTTATGAATGGCAAAGGCAACTGAGGGATATGCTGTGCATGCCAAATGAGTGCCAGTAAAACCTTTAACACCCAACATTTTTATGGATTTTGTTTAGAACGCGTTTTAAAAAGTTATTAAAGCCCCTTTTTCAAATTTTACTATTTTGTTGATGATAATCTTTTTAAAATTCCACTGACTTTATGCTCCAATTGGTTTTGTATAGATTTTTGAAGTCAGGAGAAAAAGAATATTTAATTAGAAGTTTTAGGAAGAACTGTTTAAAGTCATACTCTACTTTCAAATCTCAATGCCTTATGTTTGAGGTTATCGTCTTTGTGGCTGGAAAGGTCTGAGCTTCATTGGTGTCAGACTCAGGACTGCAAACAGCACAAGTGATGTTCCATCATTTGGGAAAAGAAAGCGGGTGTATTTCCAGTATTGTTTATTTGAAAGGTGATAAGGGGGTTGGAATATTTGATGTACAAGTTGAATTAATGGGCAAGTCATAGAAAGGGGTCAAAAGTCCAAAACTAATATTGCGTAGTTTGTAATTATTCTGCATTTTGATTCTGTTATTAGAGAAGAAAATGAATTCACTCTAGTGCTGTTAAGAACAGAATGTCAGATAAAGAAATATTAATATTCACACGCAAACCTCCTGTTTTTCAGAAATGCAAAATCATCACAACGTTAGCAACGTGAATATCCAGCGCTCATTAAAAGAGATAAATGAAGAGTTTCATTCCATGGAACATGAGGACATTGACTCAGCCACCACGTATTCAGGTTCCAAGTGCCTGCGTTCTCTGAAATTGAGTGCAACAAGTACAGATGCACCTGATGACTGTGAAGTCATAGACGATATAGAAAAAATGAAACAAAGAATTAAGAGTATGAAGGCTGAGCTTGAAAAGTACAAAATGTTCGTGTTTAATTTACAGACCTCTGACCAGCTTTTATCGAGTGTTATTTCCAATATAGTTGTGAGTGACACGGCCTTGCCTGTGGAAGGATACATTCCAGAATTGCAAGATACAGCTATGCAAGAAATCAAACCATTTTCTGGTGTCCATCAGCTGGGGGATAGCGAGGTCCACACTGACAATAAGAATTCGGAGTCTTCAAAAGCACCTGATACGTGGACAGCACAAAACCTTAAGGAACTTCTAGCAGCAAATGAGGCAGAACTTGAAAAACAGCAAATTGCAAATGTGCATTTTGATGAAGTGTATCATCTTCAGAACAAACTGAGAGAAACATCACCATCCAAGTGAGTAAAGCCATTACCGCTTCGGGTTCCTTTTTGTAAACAGCAATACCAAATAACAGAGGAAGGGAATATGAAGATAATTTTATTCACATACGAGCACGTTGTTACAGTAGAGGCTAAATTTCACTAACATTAACATAAAGCAATTGAAACATTTATTTAAAAGATGCCTTGAAGTACAAAACAGTATTTCTCTTACAGCAGAACTGCTCCTGATAAGCTCATACCATCCTCTCTAATGCTTCTGTGCCAGACACCTGTGTCTCTCCCCACCCCTCAGGCCCACAACATCTTTGCTCTCTGAGACGGGCTGGCATCTGGAATCAAACTATTAGACTTTTGCATCACTCGGGCTTTTTTCAGGTGACAAGGATAAGAAAATGGAACATCTCATTTAAGAGAGAAGTGTTTCCGTGGGCAATTGGCTGAGGGATTCATGCCAGCCCTGCTGTTTGTGTGACCACACTTTGTGTATAAAACAAGAAGTATACACTCTAGTTATCATTTATTTTGCAGTTGAGTGTCATAATGCCTTCCTTTGAAGGATGTGAAAGTAGATATATACAGAAATTAATGAATGAAATTTTATAGCATGAGCTAGAAAACCATTTATAGGAGGCTGGAAAGTATCAGTCTTGTATTTTATACGATAAGACTGGGGGCAGCATTTTGGCTAGTGTATATACAAACCACACATGGGGTCCTATAAGATCAAACCTTTTTTAACCACCACATCCCCGATGTTGATCCAGATCAAGAGAATGAGAATGAATATGCGATGGACAAAAACCAGCAGAACTGCCAAGGTAGAGCACTTATATGGTGTAGTACATAAAAAAAGAAATTTTAAAACTGGTTTCTTCTGAATTGTGCAAAATTGTAAATTACTGCAGGTAATTGTCTCCCTTGCCATTATTTGTGGGTTTTAAATCTCGTTTTCTTAGCTAGTATGGATTAATTGCTCTAAGATTCCAAGTTCATCTTTTAAGAGTTATGCTTTCAGCAGGGCCACAGGGATTTATGAGTCTGGTTTCCAGTAAAAATAATGAGTTGTGTGCCTAACTCTGATCTCTATTGCTAATGTCCTCGCTTCTGAACTCTTCTCTGAATTAAATGTTTGTTACTTAATGCTTCTGCATCTAGTTATGAACTATTAGAATGAAGCAACTGAATGATAGAATTTTGCTTATCTGAATTATTTGAAGGCATTCAACTAGGTTGAAACCTAATGGAATCGTTTAATGAAAATGTAAATAGGCTTAATGCTGTGTATTACATCTGCATCATCCATTAGTCTTTTTTGGGAGGCTTTGAATAACCTGGTTAACACGTGGTGTACAGAGTCCAGAGGCTATGGCCAATTTTGTACTCCTTGGTCACATCATTAATTTTATTTATATAAGTAGTTTCATTAAAGCCAGTCAGTTGGTTTGCAGGATCATGCTCTTTGTGTGCCCTTTGTGTGTGTGGACACATATATGCACAGAGAGCTTATTAGTTCTCCTTTAATTAAAGGGCAGTGTTTCATTAAAAACTATAACTGGGATTCTAATCAGAAATATTTCTTCCCTAATATCTGGCATTTTTTCCTGGTTTTGTTATCTCATTTGCATGAAATTAGGATTGCAGAGTTGAAGAGTTCTTGTAGTATCTGGGGTTTTTTTCCATCTCAGTCTGCAGCCTTCTTTGACATCTGTGTTACTGCAGCAACCAGCTGGGAGAGGAGGAGGAGAAGCTCGTGAACTTCAGGGTTGCTTTTCCCTTATTCAATGTGTCTCCTTGAATCCATACACGGGCATTTCCCTGGAAGCATTTGTGTCCCATGAATCTGTCGCCTTTGGAATTAAATAGATAAAGTTCTGCAAGAATGTGTGTACTGCAGAGGACATCATCTGGCCTTCATTTCAAATATGTTGATATCCCAATATTGCAGCTTCATTTTTTTCCAGCTTTTAGGTTATATTTGGTTTTATTCTCCTGTGCTCGGGCTTGACTTGGTCCTTCATACACAGCTGTCCCCTCCCTGAGATTCTGTACTGATTTAGAGCTTGAGCCTGGGCATTGGAATTCTCCATGGAAACCAATTTGAAAGTATTAAGACCTCTGCAAGATCAATGAATTACTCCCAAAAGGGAGGTTCTAATTCGTAGTGATCTTTTGCAGAGCTAATAGGAGGGGAAGATTTAATTTACTGGTAACCAGAAAATAACCATTTTCTTACATAGTTACATGCAGCCCTCGACATACACAGAACTATAAAGATAGCATATATGTAGGAATATATAGGTTTTATTGGTCTGAATCTGGGGTGATTGCATTACTTATGAATGGCAAAGGCAACTGAGGGATATGCTGTGCATGCCAAATGAGTGCCAGTAAAACCTTTAACACCCAACATTTTTATGGATTTTGTTTAGAACGCGTTTTAAAAAGTTATTAAAGCCCCTTTTTCAAATTTTACTATTTTGTTGATGATAATCTTTTTAAAATTCCACTGACTTTATGCTCCAATTGGTTTTGTATAGATTTTTGAAGTCAGGAGAAAAAGAATATTTAATTAGAAGTTTTAGGAAGAACTGTTTAAAGTCATACTCTACTTTCAAATCTCAATGCCTTATGTTTGAGGTTATCGTCTTTGTGGCTGGAAAGGTCTGAGCTTCATTGGTGTCAGACTCAGGACTGCAAACAGCACAAGTGATGTTCCATCATTTGGGAAAAGAAAGCGGGTGTATTTCCAGTATTGTTTATTTGAAAGGTGATAAGGGGGTTGGAATATTTGATGTACAAGTTGAATTAATGGGCAAGTCATAGAAAGGGGTCAAAAGTCCAAAACTAATATTGCGTAGTTTGTAATTATTCTGCATTTTGATTCTGTTATTAGAGAAGAAAATGAATTCACTCTAGTGCTGTTAAGAACAGAATGTCAGATAAAGAAATATTAATATTCACACGCAAACCTCCTGTTTTTCAGAAATGCAAAATCATCACAACGTTAGCAACGTGAATATCCAGCGCTCATTAAAAGAGATAAATGAAGAGTTTCATTCCATGGAACATGAGGACATTGACTCAGCCACCACGTATTCAGGTTCCAAGTGCCTGCGTTCTCTGAAATTGAGTGCAACAAGTACAGATGCACCTGATGACTGTGAAGTCATAGACGATATAGAAAAAATGAAACAAAGAATTAAGAGTATGAAGGCTGAGCTTGAAAAGTACAAAATGTTCGTGTTTAATTTACAGACCTCTGACCAGCTTTTATCGAGTGTTATTTCCAATATAGTTGTGAGTGACACGGCCTTGCCTGTGGAAGGATACATTCCAGAATTGCAAGATACAGCTATGCAAGAAATCAAACCATTTTCTGGTGTCCATCAGCTGGGGGATAGCGAGGTCCACACTGACAATAAGAATTCGGAGTCTTCAAAAGCACCTTATACGTGGACAGCACAAAACCTTAAGGAACTTCTAGCAGCAAATGAGGCAGAACTTGAAAAACAGCAAATTGCAAATGTGCATTTTGATGAAGTGTATCATCTTCAGAACAAACTGAGAGAAACATCACCATCCAAGTGAGTAAAGCCATTACCGCTTCGGGTTCCTTTTTGTAAACAGCAATACCAAATAACAGAGGAAGGGAATATGAAGATAATTTTATTCACATACGAGCACGTTGTTACAGTAGAGGCTAAATTTCACTAACATTAACATAAAGCAATTGAAACATTTATTTAAAAGATGCCTTGAAGTACAAAACAGTATTTCTCTTACAGCAGAACTGCTCCTGATAAGCTCATACCATCCTCTCTAATGCTTCTGTGCCAGACACCTGTGTCTCTCCCCACCCCTCAGGCCCACAACATCTTTGCTCTCTGAGACGGGCTGGCATCTGGAATCAAACTATTAGACTTTTGCATCACTCGGGCTTTTTTCAGGTGACAAGGATAAGAAAATGGAACATCTCATTTAAGAGAGAAGTGTTTCCGTGGGCAATTGGCTGAGGGATTCATGCCAGCCCTGCTGTTTGTGTGACCACACTTTGTGTATAAAACAAGAAGTATACACTCTAGTTATCATTTATTTTGCAGTTGAGTGTCATAATGCCTTCCTTTGAAGGATGTGAAAGTAGATATATACAGAAATTAATGAATGAAATTTTATAGCATGAGCTAGAAAACCATTTATAGGAGGCTGGAAAGTATCAGTCTTGTATTTTATACGATAAGACTGGGGGCAGCATTTTGGCTAGTGTATATACAAACCACACATGGGGTCCTATAAGATCAAACCTTTTTTAACCACCACATCCCCTTTCCTGCCACCCCCAACATTGCTATTATCCTGGGGACATACAGAATGGCAGGAGGTATAACAAAGAAAGGTATTCAGCCTCTTGGCTTTCTTCAGAATGCCTGAGTAGAAATATTTGGAGAAACTGAGCAACCACCAACATGGACTATTGTGTATCTACTTAGTATTACTCTCGTAAAATAACAGTCGTGTTACATAGTACCTATAAATTTACATACCTTGAAAATATACCTCATCCATTTTGCAAAGGAAGGTCTAACTGTGTAAATTAAGGAATGAGACAGTATGGATTGCTGTAAAGTTTTTATGGCTGCTGTCTAGGACAACTGCAGGAGTCACCAGTGACAGACCCCAAATGAGTTATGCATCTCTTCCTATACAAATGACAATAAAAATTCTATAACAACTCATTCCATCATAGATTTTGTTTATGCCCCGCTTAGAAAGAAGCGTATCCGTGATACAGACAGTGGCAGTATAAAGGGGATGTCTGTATTTGCAAGTGCAGAATAAATTCAATTGATCTGAGATGAAATTTATACCCTGGCTTATGGAAATTGGATGCTGCAGTGGTTGTAATGGTCATGTCTCATAAGAAAATAATAATATTTAAAAAACCCAACCAAACAAAAAAAATCACCATACAGGGATGTGTAGAGTTATCAGGCTGGATGAAACCATTGGCTCAGAAAGTCCAGTATTTTGCTTTCAGAAAAAGAGACAGCACTATGTTCTCTTCCATACTGAAGCAAAAAAAACAAACCAACCCAAAACCCAGGAAGAACATGTGTATTCTTAAAAATTCTTTTAATGTAGTCATTCTTATTTACTTTAATTTGGCACCTTTGCATACAGACAAACAAGTTCATCATTCCCCTCCCTGAGATTCTGTACTGATTTAGAGCTTGAGCCTGGGCATTGGAATTCTCCATGGAAACCAATTTGAAAGTATTAAGACCTCTGCAAGATCAATGAATTACTCCCAAAAGGGAGGTTCTAATTCGTAGTGATCTTTTGCAGAGCTAATAGGAGGGGAAGATTTAATTTACTGGTAACCAGAAAATAACCATTTTCTTACATAGTTACATGCAGCCCTCGACATACACAGAACTATAAAGATAGCATATATGTAGGAATATATAGGTTTTATTGGTCTGAATCTGGGGTGATTGCATTACTTATGAATGGCAAAGGCAACTGAGGGATATGCTGTGCATGCCAAATGAGTGCCAGTAAAACCTTTAACACCCAACATTTTTATGGATTTTGTTTAGAACGCGTTTTAAAAAGTTATTAAAGCCCCTTTTTCAAATTTTACTATTTTGTTGATGATAATCTTTTTAAAATTCCACTGACTTTATGCTCCAATTGGTTTTGTATAGATTTTTGAAGTCAGGAGAAAAAGAATATTTAATTAGAAGTTTTAGGAAGAACTGTTTAAAGTCATACTCTACTTTCAAATCTCAGTGCCTTATGTTTGAGGTTATCGTCTCTGTGGCTGGAAAGGTCTGAGCTTCATTGGTGTCAGACTCAGGACTGCAAACAGCACAAGTGATGTTCCATCATTTGGGAAAAGAAAGCGGGTGTATTTCCAGTATTGTTTATTTGAAAGGTGATAAGGGGGTTGGAATATTTGATGTGCAAGTTGAATTAATGGGCAAGTCATAGAAAGGGGTCAAAAGTCCAAAACTAATATTGCGTAGTTTGTAATTATTCTGCATTTTGATTCTGTTATTAGAGAAGAAAATGAATTCACTCTAGTGCTGTTAAGAACAGAATGTCAGATAAAGAAATATTAATATTCACACGCAAACCTCCTGTTTTTCAGAAATGCAAAATCATCACAACGTTAGCAACGTGAATATCCAGCGCTCATTAAAAGAGATAAATGAAGAGTTTCATTCCATGGAACATGAGGACATTGACTCAGCCACCACGTATTCAGGTTCCAAGTGCCTGCGTTCTCTGAAATTGAGTGCAACAAGTACAGATGCACCTGATGACTGTGAAGTCATAGACGATATAGAAAAAATGAAACAAAGAATTAAGAGTATGAAGGCTGAGCTTGAAAAGTACAAAATGTTCGTGTTTAATTTACAGACCTCTGACCAGCTTTTATCGAGTGTTATTTCCAATATAGTTGTGAGTGACACGGCCTTGCCTGTGGAAGGATACATTCCAGAGTTGCAAGATACAGCTATGCAAGAAATCAAACCATTTTCTGGTGTCCATCAGCTGGGGGATAGCGAGGTCCACACTGACAATAAGAATTCGGAGTCTTCAAAAGCACCTTATACGTGGACAGCACAAAACCTTAAGGAACTTCTAGCAGCAAATGAGGCAGAACTTGAAAAACAGCAAATTGCAAATGTGCATTTTGATGAAGTGTATCATCTTCAGAACAAACTGAGAGAAACATCACCATCCAAGTGAGTAAAGCCATTACCGCTTCGGGTTCCTTTTTGTAAACAGCAATACCAAATAACAGAGGAAGGGAATATGAAGATAATTTTATTCACATACGAGCACGTTGTTACAGTAGAGGCTAAATTTCACTAACATTAACATAAAGCAATTGAAACATTTATTTAAAAGATGCCTTGAAGTACAAAACAGTATTTCTCTTACAGCAGAACTGCTCCTGATAAGCTCATACCATCCTCTCTAATGCTTCTGTGCCAGACACCTGTGTCTCTCCCCACCCCTCAGGCCCACAACATCTTTGCTCTCTGAGACGGGCTGGCATCTGGAATCAAACTATTAGACTTTTGCATCACTCGGGCTTTTTTCAGGTGACAAGGATAAGAAAATGGAACATCTCATTTAAGAGAGAAGTGTTTCCGTGGGCAATTGGCTGAGGGATTCATGCCAGCCCTGCTGTTTGTGTGACCACACTTTGTGTATAAAACAAGAAGTATACACTCTAGTTATCATTTATTTTGCAGTTGAGTGTCATAATGCCTTCCTTTGAAGGATGTGAAAGTAGATATATACAGAAATTAATGAATGAAATTTTATAGCATGAGCTAGAAAACCATTTATAGGAGGCTGGAAAGTATCAGTCTTGTATTTTATACGATAAGACTGGGGGCAGCATTTTGGCTAGTGTATATACAAACCACACATGGGGTCCTATAAGACCAAACCTTTTTTAACCACCACATCCCCTTTCCTGCCACCCCCAACATTGCTATTATCCTGGGGACATACAGAATGGCAGGAGGTATAACAAAGAAAGGTATTCAGCCTCTTGGCTTTCTTCAGAATGCCTGAGTAGAAATATTTGGAGAAACTGAGCAACCACCAACATGGACTATTGTGTATCTACTTAGTATTACTCTCGTAAAATAACAGGCGTGTTACATAGTACCTATAAATTTACATACCTTGAAAATATACCTCATCCATTTTGCAAAGGAAGGTCTAACTGTGTAAATTAAGGAATGAGACAGTATGGATTGCTGTAAAGTTTTTATGGCTGCTGTCTAGGACAACTGCAGGAGTCACCAGTGACAGACCCCAAATGAGTTATGCATCTCTTCCTATACAAATGACAATAAAAATTCTATAACAACTCATTCCATCATAGATTTTGTTTATGCCCCGCTTAGAAAGAAGCGTATCCGTGATACAGACAGTGGCAGTATAAAGGGGTTGTCTGTATTTGCAAGTGCAGAATAAATTCAATTGATCTGAGATGAAATTTATACCCTGGCTTATGGAAATTGGATGCTGCAGTGGTTGTAATGGTCATGTCTCATAAGAAAATAATAATATTTAAAAAACCCAACCAAACAAAAAAAATCACCATACAGGGATGTGTAGAGTTATCAGGCTGGATGAAACCATTGGCTCAGAAAGTCCAGTATTTTGCTTTCAGAAAAAGAGACAGCACTATGTTCTCTTCCATACTGAAGCAAAAAAAACAAACCAACCCAAAACCCAGGAAGAACATGTGTATTCTTAAAAATTCTTTTAATGTAGTCATTCTTATTTACTTTAATTTGGCACCTTTGCATACAGACAAACAAGTTCATCATTTTAGTTTCTGCCTGTCATATAAATGAAGTAGTTAAATGGAGGATAATAACCCACAAGTCATGTTTATAAATACGGAGCTCAACAGGTAGAGACAATACATTTCTCATTGTGGCTGTAAAAGCATTTTAAAAGAAAATTGAGTCCTATAAAATTATGCTTTAGGAATATAAGTTTAATTCACTTTTTATTTATATTTAAATGTTATTTATGGTCAGAAAATGACTTTAAAGATAATTTCATTTTCTCAGATATGATTCATTAGTTCATTCACAAGCTCGAGAACTCTCCTTTCAACGCCAACAAATTGAAGAGCTCCGCGGAGGTTGTATCACTTACCATCAGCATCTGACGGGCCTTATTCAAGCTTTTGAGGAACTGCTTCAAGCCAGTGATGTAGATTATTATGTTGCTGAAGGCTTCCGTGAGCAACTGAATCAAAGTGTACTCATGTTTGAGAAGCTGGAAGGGAAATTCCTCTATGGTAAGTAGCAGTATTTTGTGCTTATTGTCTGAGATGTAGTAACATTCTCAAAATTTGGAGGTGTTTTTTTTCTTTTCAGTGAAAAGGAAGCCTTTCTTTCTCTTGGTTGCTTTTAAATGTTTTATAGGCATTACTGTCTTGGAAGATAAAATTTTAGTGCTCCGACAAGACTGGGTTTTATTTTGTAGCCGTCCTCTGTATTGACACCTTGCCTTTTGAGTTGTTTATCTTAGCACATGCATATTTTAACTGTTCAAAATACAGTGGTTATAGTTTAGTATATGTTTAGTTACAAGTAGGCTTTGGGATTTTCTATTTCAGGAAAAACCCAGCTGACTTTGAGCCTGAGCACTGGGTATCTCCATGGAAGGGTTCTCATGGGCATGGGTCACAGTTGGTTTTTCACACAATCTGTGTTTAACTAAAAAGAAAAAATTACGGGTTCCTGAAGTTCTTCCCCTAAAGTGCAGTCTCTTGCAAGAAGGGTAAACGCAGGGCAGAGATCCGGGCTGTGTTTTTAGAGTGAAAGAAAAAATTATTATATAGTAGTCCATCTGGGCAATTTTCTGTGGCCAGTGCCTGTAAAGAAACTGTAAGGAATCCTGCATTGGGCAGTTGGAAGATAATACCATACTGATTTGCACATTATTGGTGTAGAAAGAACACAAATTACATGCAGGTATAAAATCATCTGTCGCTGGATGCACCAAGAAAAAGAGCCACAGACTCTATGGAGAAACCCACCCAAGTGGTGTACGTAGAAAATTAAAATTAGGGGAGAGAAAGGGAAAATCTGTTTGGTTAGAAGGCAGAGGGGAATGATTCCTTTCAGAATTCTGAGTAGCTCATTAATTGAAGATGCTGTGGTATTGGAAATCAGTGTGTATTTGGAGGTGTCTGTAGTAGTGGAAGAGTCTCCTGAGCAGAGGTTCTAGGGAAAGTCAACCAGAGAAGTGTTGTCCTGGCGTTAGAGAAACCCAAGTGCTGAACAGGGTGTGTACCCAGAGAGGCCACTGGAATGTGTGCCAGTCAGCAAAGCCTTTTAATTACCAGTGAGAACTGGCTTAATGTCTGAAAAATGGGAGTTTACACTCCTGAAAACGCTCTTGTCCTTTTGCTGTTCATCCCAGTTTCCCCACCAACTGTTTGGCAAAGCATTAAGTTGCAAAGGCAAAGCCTTAAACATCTAAGAAGTGAGACCATATCAGGAGATGTATTATTCCTAACATTTCTAATTATTTTCCTGAGACCTGCATCTTGCTGCCTAGCTGGTTAAGAAAAGCATTCTGTCTTTCCTAACAGTGAGCTGAAAAATAGCCTAGCTGGTTAAGAAGAGCATTCTGTCTTTCCTAACAGTGAGCTGAAATGCAACCATGTTTTGTAAAACGAGCATCAAAATGGACATTTGTCACCTGAATGAAGAGTATATCATACTTATTGCCTTCAGGCTGTAGTTTGAAGAAAGTTAGCAGGAAAGAGATGGAAAAGGGATGCTACCATGAATGAAATTCAGCAAGAAAGACCTTTTCCTATCATTGCAAGCGTTGCTCTTTCTGACCCACACAACTGGCAATCCTTCCTCTGTTGTCAGCTGCAAAGCTGCCATCTTCAGCGAAACACTCGAGGTGGCCTCAAATAGGGACCCTGACCCCTGCAACTTCTCGAAATTGGCTCGAGAAGATGGCTTTGTTGAGAAGCATCCAGGGCCCAGCCATACAGTGATCTGTGTTCTGCCTTTCATTAAAGATAGTGGCAGCACGTTGCGGTTTCGATTGCTCCTATAAAGGAGCTGTATATGAGAAAAAGGTATTACGGCGAGTGTGTCATAGCAGTGTGATAAAAGATTGAGTGTATTCAATGATTTCAGTGGCTACAGAGATTCCTTGCATTACAAATGAGGAGACTGTGTAGTGAATAAACATTAAACGCCTTTAAAAAAAAAAGCCCCAAACCAACAGATGGTATCCTATATACTATGAAAAGTCCCTGACAACCGCGACAGTTCAATATATCTAACACAATGGTGTTGCATTGAATCACGCATTAAAATAAAATGATGTTTGTAGGGTTATAAAGAACAGCCAGCGTACTAAGAATTGACTGTAAAGAAAAAGCATAAACAACCGTCTGTCTCCACATTTCCATCCTGACCTTCAGTTCATTCCCCTGGAATTTCAGCTGTGCAGCCCTTTCCTGCTGCTTCGGCTTAATTGCCCAAAATTTTTAAAATACAGGGAGCCAAGGTGACACCACGAAACTCTTTTTTCTTTATTCAAATTAACGCCTGAGTCCAGGTCTCTTGCACTGAATTGTGCTTGTGCTCCCACACTGTACCACGGAGAATATTGCAGGTGAAATCCTGTCTGTGCCCCTTTATTGAGGAGAACAGGTTTGCCTGACTCGGGATGGACAAAATCCAAGGGAGACAGAATTGGTTTTGTATAATTTTTTTTTACGAGGTAATAGCAAATACCCCTAATCCTTTTGCCACATAGCCTGGTATTTTACATCTGTGTTCTAACTAAAACACCGAGGCTGTAAAATCTGGCACCTCTGGTACCCAGTAATTTTTTTTGAAAACCAGAGAAAGCTATTGCTTTGTTGCTGGGTTATAAATAGTTTTGCTCATGTACAGCATTTGACATTAATACACAGTGTGTTGAGTATCTGTTGACTTCTCTATTTTCTCATTAATTTACCATTTATATTTGATTCGTTTAAGATGGAGGGGAAAATAGTATAATTCTCCATATCTGTTTTTAATCGGATGTTTCTGCTTTGCAGGAGAATCAATAGGTACAGAAGTTACTCTACTTTATGAATTAGCTGAAAGGTAAGCGCGCAATTGAATGTTTATCAAACACACGGTCATTTGCTAAGTTGCTAAGGCTTGCTCCATGTTTTGTAGTAGAACTTTCACTGGTTTGCTTTTGGGAGGGCTTTGCTTATGTCATTAATACCCATTTTGTTAATAAAATATCCATAGAAAACAAACTAAGGCCTTTTTCCCCACTTCTCTGCAAGCAACTGAGATGCTGAGAGGAAGCATCATGCCACCAGGGTTGTCCTTTTCATGAACAACCAAACACGGGCTACAATACACTGTTGTGTAGTTCAGATATAGCCCTGATGGCAGCTTCTGGGAGGGGACACTGAGGTTCTTTTCCATTTTGTGACCTTGGGGCTGGCTCAGCATCACCAGAGCACGGGGGTGTTGAACTTCACTCCCAGAACACCCTTACGTGGAAGGTGAGGAGAGGCAGGTGTTGTTCTGCTGTGTCTGTTGGTTTTGTGCCAGCCTGGGATTCTTCTGTGCTACAGAAACCCTCAGCCTCCTCTTCCAGGGCAGCTTGAGGTCCCCGTAACACAGAGGTGACTACTTGATGCTGGAACAAAACCACTAGGCTGGTGGTTCATTGATTATTCCTGCTGACTTCAGGGAAGTCTGAATTTCAGTCTTGATGTTTTCCTCTGATGTCTAGTGGTTTGTCACGTTCCATCACACAAATTCATTTGTTTTACCTGTGTCTTGTAAATTTGACACCCTGCTCTCTGTTCGTGCTTCCAAAGTAACAAAACAATTTTAAAATTTAAAAATATTTTGTTTGGCACAAAAAGGGATAATGAGAAGAACACCACCATGTACCAGCAACTGAAGGAATCACCTGGACCATCTGCTCTTCATAGCTTGTCTGACTTTGATCTGTCAGAAAAGTCATCTCTTGGATCACCCGAGCGCAGGCGTGACCCAGCCGGACAGCGTGACGCGCTGGCGCTGCTGCCAAACACGTTTCCCCCAGGTAATTTTTTTCCCATTGAAGATTCACTAGATATTGGGAAAATGTGATAAATAAGACACAAGGGAACTAATTAAGAAATAATGAAGAATGTTTGTCTGCTTCAGCTTCCCAGTATCTTGCATAATCATTGCAATTTCAGTAATAAGACATACAGAGATGACAACAATTTGAACTACATCCCGTTTGAAACAAAATTAACTATGATATTCTGTGTCTTTGTTGTTTTAGACTATCATCTTTTACGGTACTCCAGACAGTCTTTAAATAGACAAGTTATAAGGGGAAAATAGACAATTGTCAAGAGATTATTACATAGAAAAAGAGAGATTTTCTAATTTTATAAAAGGCAGTGTTGTGTTTCCTTGAGAATTGTAAGTGCTGCATAATTAATAAGTGGTGTCATGTTTGACCTGGATAGTTTCGCTAAGCACAAGCGATGCTCGCGGTACTTTGTTATAGGCAGCGATGAAAATTTAATAGCTGAGATAGCACGTACTGTTCAGGGGAGAAAAAATATTGCAGAGTAAACCAGGAGTGTACAACATGGATAAACTGACAAATGAGATAGTGACAGAACCGATAAGTTCCTGAGTAAAGCTGAAACTTACAGTCAATGGAAGAAAAATTGTAGAATGGCAAAGGAAGAAGGAAAAGGTACAGTAATGAAACTTGATAGAACAGATTTATTTATTATGGTATGCATTGTATAAGTCAAAGTCAAATTTCTATCTGAGTTACTCGGGGAAGGTTCCTATTGTTAGAAGGAAAAATGGGTACTATTGGTGCATTGAGCGTGAATGGGAAGCTGCATTGCAGAACTTGGGATTCATTTCCCAGCACGGGGAACGTTTTAACTAGATAAAATTGTTATCTGCTACGGTTTTGTAGGATGAGGAAATTTGAAGAGCCTTAAAACTGGATCATTGTTTGGGGTGAAATATAGGAGTTTTCACTAAATGCATGGTTTGGGGACTACATAGAAAAAGACTGTCGTGGAGTCAGATATTTAATATCTGCCCTTTTGAACAGCTCTGTATAAATTTTTAGTATTAACACATAGTAGATCTCACCAGAGTACACAGTGTAAAGGAATACAATCATTTAAATAAGAAGTGATCTCTTGGTTTATTTAGAGTTATTAATGGAACATCTGCAAGAAATCCGAATCCTGAGACAACGTTTAGAATACTCCATAAAAACTAATGAGAGACTGAGGAAGCAGCTTGAGAGACAAGTAACAGACAAGGAACTAGATCAAGGTAAGAATTTATTTCATGAAGAATTAAATCCCCCTTTCCTGCTTAAAGCCTCAGAGATCAAATGCTGCGGGTGTTGTTTTGTGTGCTTTTTCGAATAAACCCCACCCTTTTAGAGATGGAAAATGATGTGCCTTTCTCTGAATGTTGTTGTATCTCGAGCACTGTCAGCAGATGCAGCTTTTCCATGCTTGTGGAGTGGCATAAATACAGATCTGCCTCTTCTGTGGGCCCTTTGATGGAGCTGTACCCAGTGCTGATGCACTAATCCTTCCTGGGACGCCGGGGTAGCACATGGACTCACACCTAACGATGGCACATGTTGTAAGAGAACAGGGCCACCAGGTCGTGTTATAACATTTAAATTTCATACAGAGCAGTGAAAGCCCCTTCTGGTTCTGTCATCAGCAAACAGCCTGCTTTTTCTCTGTGCCCTTGGGATATCGTCGTTGTTGTCAGGGTCTTGGATTTTAGGATGACATCATCTTTTCATTCTCTGCCGTGTCCAACCAGGAGCAGTTGCAGGAGAGGAAGCCCATTCCATCAACGTAATTTCCCTGGGGCCTGGGGCCTGTAGGAACAGAGGAGATGGTGCTTTGCCCTAAATGACATTGCTGCTATTGATCCAAAGTAGGAATTTTGTGAAATTGGCTTTCCTGTGTCTCCTCCATGTATTCCTGGGGTGGTCAGCACAGCACCACTGCTACCAGGACAGGTGGAGATGCCTTCTCTGGAATTTGCTGACTGCTTTAAAGCCAGTTTGTGCTTACAGAGAGGGACAGAATATCTGTAAGACAGAGCCTAGGCCACGGTGTTCAGCTTGTCATCTGAATTGATTGGTGTGATAAATGTGTTCTACACAAAATGACACCCTGAGTTTTTAATGAGAAATACCTGACAGAAACTGATGGACATTTTAACATGGAGCTGGTTTTCATTCCAAACTCTAATATAAAGCAGTGGATGAAAAAATACTAAAAATAGGTATGCAAATTCAGAGTCACTGCTCTCTACTGCTGGTGTGCAGCATCTTTGAAAGCCAAGCGCTGCGGTGCGTTTAAAACTTTACACCAGAGGGTAGCCAGGCTTTCATTAAGGCTGCTTTTGTAGCACCTTTTCAAGCACCACGTACCAGACATATTTTCCTACACTTTCCTCTGTTCTTGCTCTCCTTCCCACATTTCCCCCCATAGGACAGTTGATTAATATGCAATATTACTCAGAGTGGAAGCAGGCAATAAATACGCACATGCATTCCTTTTACTCAGTTTCGCTAATATTGACATTAGATTCATTATGTTTTACATCATCCCCATGATCCATTTCTCTTGTTGTTTAAATGGAGACTACCTGCAAATGGCAGTTTGCTTTCAGGAATAATTTACAGTGATGGAAAGGTGTATAAAAAGCATCCATTTCATTCATGAAGTATTTACGCTGCTGGAAAGGCATACTGTTCTCGTGAAATAACCACACTGAAACACTTCCAACTCTTTTACAGCTTCATAAAGATTCTGGCAAGGGCATCCATTAATGCAGTGAAAGTATATTTTCTTTATAAACTGTCTTATGCCTTCCATCTGTCTTCTTCTTGCCTTAGTGCATCTACCAAGGCATGGAGGAGAAATTTGGAAAAGAAAGGAAAAAAAGCAACTACCTGTTAGAACAGCTCCTTTTTGTTACTGTGTTCCCTCAGTGCTTCCTGTTTCGCTCTGTTTTGAAGATCTCTTTCATGTTGATATGTGTTTTCTCTCTTCTGGTAATGATGCTACTTTTGTTCCTAATGGATGGGCCTTTTTTTGACTTTCATTGTAAGAAGTTACTAAGTGAAGCTGAAGCAGATTTTAGCTTTGGGACACAAGAATTTAAAACATTTCTTTTTACTTTTAACTTAGTATCCTTGGTTGTTTTCCTTTAAAAAACAAAATCAAGTTGTAACATACTTAACTGATGAGAGAACTGTTAAATTCACACTACTACTAAGTACTTTGTGCAACCAAAATTAATGGAATTATTCTGGTACTAAGTTCTTTGTGCAACCAAAATTAATGGAATTATTCTCGTCTGATAAATATTATACAGATGTATATGGACACATCTGCCCACTATTTTTGCCATGCTATTTTTAATATTTAGATTCTCTAAGTATTTAAATGCCTCTGGGCTTCTAGTATTCTATAAATGACTCAAGTGTTGATAATGGCTGCGTCGTTACTGTAGAGCTGAGGTTTGCAGTGCAACTAGAACCAAATAATTGCTTCAATCATTTCAAAATGTTAGGCTGCAAAATGAAATCAAAGTTTTAATTTTGAGTTTCGTAGGTTTCAAACATTATTGATGGCAGTTAAGATTAGCAGGGGGTTTTGTTTGCTTTTTTTAACCCACAAGAAACTAGTGTATCTATACAGAATTACCTTCAGCTCCAATGTGCCTTCATTTTGCTTTACCTGGGAATGAATATTTCCTTGCACTTCGCTGTGATTTTCAATAGTGCTTGTCTTTCAGTCAGTGTTTCCTTTGAAACCTTCAAGGTGTGCTTCCTTAGCACTCACTTTTTCAGCATGAAACATAATGAAAACTCAAGTGTGTTGCAATTGTAGGCCCTGATGCTCCACTTTACTGTGGGTAGATGGACCTTTGCCTCTGTGGAGAGCGTAATTGATGTCAGCAGGGCTCTGCACAGAAGCAGTCGTCTCGGTAGTGGGTCAAATTACAGGACTGTGGCCTTATTACCACTGGCTCTACATTATCCATTATTATGTAAGATAACTAATAGTTATATTCTAAAGCCTTTCAATAGGACTGTGATAGCATAACTTTTCAAATAGGATAAAGCTGGGTGATGGGCAATAAATTAAATTAGAATCAAGATGAGACCATCAAGCCTTGCCACTTGAAGTTGAATTGCTTTGTTAAAAATCTGAAAGGAAAAAGCCTTTTGAGTTCTCATAGCTACCTCAACTCTTTAACATATAGATAGTAAAATGCCATTAGTGCCAGGCTTCTAGAGCCTTTGAGTCTTTCAGTAACGACAAGAGGTGCATATCATGGCGCACTACATCCCAGTTAGGTAGTGGGTAAAAGCTTCAGTTGGGATTACAATAAAATGAGATTACTCGGAGGAAGTGCTGCACATCAAATTGAATTGAACTGCCAGAGCTGAAAGGCATCCTCCTCATACATTCAGCTAATTTTTTTTTTTTTTTTGCCACCTGGTTATTTCTCTATTACCCAAATAGTTGACACTCATGTAGTTATCTCAAGCTTTAAAGCGTAGGAGATACTGGGATAACCAATCAACTGAAAAGTACTTTTAATAGTAATGTTAATTCCAGTGGGTCCTGAAGTGTTTTACTGACTATAAGCAGGTTATAAAGGGCAATAACAATTACTTGACTAGCATTTCAGGGGCAGCACCTTGAGAGTGGAATGTGGCACTTTTCAGGCTGTAATGTAACATTACACATCGCAGTGGGATGAATAGCATAAATAGAGTACATTATGAGGATCACCAGGGCTGGAATTGATACACGATTTAACACTTATATTTGTATGACTAGTGCAATAAGATCCTGAGAGCAGGATTCATCACTCTTAAGTTGCTAAAAGTTAGACATCTAAATCTGTGCTGGTTACCCAGAGCTTCTGGTGGGGGCACAGGGGAGAAGTATGTCTCCTTGGAGGACAGGGTGCCTCATTTCAGGGAGGTGTGAGGGGTATGTCGGGTGAGTCACTTTCTGGAGGTGCCTATTTCTCCCCATGGCTGTTGATGGTTGATCAACACTGGCTCAGTTATCTTAATTTTAGATGCACAAATTTAAGAGGGATGAATCTTCATCCCTGTGATGATAAATGGGTTCTCAGCAAGTAATCAGAGGCAAAGACAGTGACTCCAGCCTTACGCTCTAGACTGGCCTGGTAACAAAAGTATGACCAGAGTATTTATGGTACTTGCTCTCTGGAGGTGCCTGTCTCTCCCCATGGCTGTTGATGGTTGATCAACACTGGCTCAGTTATCTTAATTTTAGATGCACAAATTTAAGAGGGATGAATCTTCATCCCTGTGATGATAAATGGGTTCTCAGCAAGTAATCAGAGGCAAAGACAGTGACTCCAGCTTTATGCTCTTGACTGGCCTGGTAGCAAAAGTATGACCAGAGTATTTATGGTACTTCCTACATTAACCACTGTGGATTAGTTGGTAGAATATAGTGGTCCTCTGTGATGGTGTCATTAAACACAAGAGTATTAACAAAGCAAAGCATTTTGGATTATTTTCAAAGAATAGCAATGACACGAAATACCCCTGCGTTTTGCCCTGTTGGAATTTTAGCTGAGAGGTAAAGACTGCCAGGGATAATTTTGCAATTTTGGTAATGGTTGCCCAGCAATGAGAGGTACTTGTGATGCGGGGCTTTGGATTACTTGGCATGAACCTGAGCTGCCTTTTACTCTGTAGGGATAACCTTCAAAATATATAGGGGAGAAATATCTTTCATAACATGTTTTTCTGCAATTTTTTAAATTGTTCTTGTCTGGAAAGTTTAATCTTTAATGACCTAGAGATGACTCATAAATCATCTTTTATGTATATATTTATAGGTTCTGCAAACATTTTTATCCATGGCTCAGAGCAGCATAATTCCCTGGCTTCTGAAATACATTTCCTGAGGAAGCAAAATCAAGTTCTGAATGCAATGCTAGCAAAAGGATCCAGAGGTAAAAATGTAAAACTCTGATTTACAGGAGTAGACCCCAACTCATTTCAGAGCGGAAAACAATAAAATATTAACAGTCCATTTATTAAACTGTCTTAACCATTCTTCCCATTCCTGAAATTCCATGCTCAACCATATGCATTAAATCTGGGGCTGACGGTTACACAGGAGTAGTGGTTGCTCCTTTCTGTTTACCTGTAGTTTGATAGATAAATAGGGCTGGGAAGGAGAAGGCAGAGGGATTTCTGTGAGACAAAGAGGAACATGGGTGCAATGTGCCCTAGAACACAGTTCTTTTCTTCCTAAAGAGAACTCAGCTCCACTATTTTGTGAAGACTGGCAAAATTCGTGTGCCTGCTTTGGGACCCTGCTGACACGAGTTGTTCAATACTGTCCTTCTGCCAAATTCCAAGTGGTGTTGAGGACATTTAGGATATAGGATTGTACACATGGTTTTATTGAGCCTTTGTGAGTCCTGGGGGTTAAACGTTGCAGGTTACAGAAGGTGCATCTAGCAAAAGTCATTAGGAAATAGAAATCCTGAAACCCTAAAGCTCACAAGAGCAGTAGTTATTTTCTGACAGTCTCTGAAAAAGCTGGTGTTAGTAAAAAGCATAGCTTTAGTGGGTTGTGGGCATTGCAAATACCTTGTGTTTCTTCTTGTTTCAGATAAACAAAAGGAAAATGAAAAGCTAAGAGAATCTCTTTCTAAAAAGAACACAATCATTGAGCATCTTCATGAGGATTATGAATGCATCAAGAAAGAAAATGAAAAGTTGCAAAAACAAATTGGCCAAAAGGAGAATGAAACCAGATATCTCACCTGTCAAATTTACAGCAGTCGTAATGAATTAAACAGGTATTGATTCAGTCCACATTTAGACATTCATTTAGAGGAGAAAATTGTCAATGTGACAAGCACATGTTTAGCCATAGCCATTAACATTAATGAGGTGCATAGATAAATTAAAAAGGCAAGGGAAGAATTATGGGGGAAAGGGGAATGGATTTTAGATTTTGAAACAAAAGGTAAGAATTTAACTTTTAACTTAGCAATTTATTGTGACTTAACAGATTGCAAACAGAAATTAATGTAAAGCAACATCAGCTCTCTGAGAATGAGAAGTTACTGCAGTCGCTCCGAACTGAGATCAAGGTTTATGAAAAGTTGGAAGAAGCAAGAAGGAAGAGGACAGGTATAAATGCACAATTATTTCTGTACCCTCAGCCTTTGCAACCCATCCCTCCCCGAATATGATCTTGTCAAAGGAGACTAGGGCCCTCTTTCTTTCTTTTTTTCTACTTGTGTCTGCAAAGTAGAACTGACAACTTGATAAAATGCTTTTTACTTGGGAGCGTAACTGCGAGGATGAGATGTGTGATATGTTCTGACTTAGGCACACCCAAGTTTCCTTTATCTTTTTATTTAAGCTAAAACCAAATATTGACGATTCAGTGGCTCCAGCTGGATAAGCTTCAGGGGGATCCTTATGTATTTACTTGTCATCTGAATTCCATGCTGCTGCATCCTCGGGGGTAGAGCTTACTCAGGGAGTGTGTGCTTTCTCTTCTCTGAATATGGGGGTGGTGTTGTCTCCCTTGGGCTTGGGGGAGAAGTGCTGGCACTGCTTTCCCAAGGAGACCTTTAATAATTTCCCACCCTCTTTTCTGCCACTAAAGGTAGGAATGAGACTTATAGGAGTTCTTCCTGCCCCTTTTAAGGAAGCTGTACCACCACGTAACGTAGCACATATGGTTAGGAAAGGAGTGGAATGCTGTTCATTGCTGCATACTCGCCACAGGAGCCAGCAAATTTCCCATTGGAAATTCTTGTAAAAGTTGATTTATTTTTTTCCTTCCTGCTACTTTAAGTATCGCGCCCTGCCGTCGCCGTGTTTCATGCCTAGCTGCAGCAGCAGAGCCCTGTTGGCATAAGGCTTTAAGCCAAAGTTGGCTCAGGGATGAAGAAAGTCTCCTTGCAGAACTGGCAATGTAATTAGAGAGGAGCAGCACCCTCCTCCTGCAGCTGAGCCCCCTCCCACTGTCAGGAGAACAGTTTGATTTCAGCATGAAAGGAGACATGGAATTGTTTGTGTACTGACCTCCTCCTATGAAAAGGCGAACGCAGCCCGTGCTTTTTTTCAGGTTCAGATTTGTTCCTCTGGTTGCCAGGTGATCTCTATTTTCTTTTTTCTTCTATGTATAAAATTAAACTTCCAATTCTGCTCCTTCCCTCCTCCGCACTCCGAGATTACCCATTCCTTTTTCTTTCCCCAGACTCTGCGTTAATGCACTTCAAATTTTATAAATCCTCTTCGTTCTCTTTTTATTATATTTTTTTGCTTTTGGTATGAGGCTTATTAGCTTTTATGGACAAAGTGAAAAATCATTTTCGGCTTTTGAAATCTTTTGAGGGTAGAAGCAATTAAGACGTGCTTTTTTGTCAAACCATTATCTTAATGCCGTTTGTAGTTAATTCTTAATATTGAGGATAAAGCTGGCTATAATTTACTTGCTCAGCATTCTGATAATGGCTAATATTATTTTAATTGTTAAAGATGTTAAGTGTTTCTTTTGAAATTGCCTCAGATCCCAGATGTGATGCATCGGAAGAATTCCGAAAAGATCAGAATAGTCCACTTGACTTACACGAACTCTTGACTGAAATACAGAGTTTGCGAGTGCAGCTTGAGAGAAGCACAGAGACAAACAAGTCCTTGCACGAGAAATTAGAGGAGCAGCTTTCAAAAGAGAAGAGGGAGGAAGCGGGATCGGTGTCAGCTGTGAATATCAACTATCTTTTCAAACAAGAATCTCAGCATCGTGCAGGAGAGAACGGTACGGTGCCATATGGGCTCTTGTTATACTGCAGAACCTGGGCCTTGTTCTTGGAAGATGCTCTTAAAGCTTCACACAACATCAGCTTTGTGTTTGGGAGCTGCCCCCAGCCCTTCCCCTCCCTTTCCCCTTAGAGCTATTAGTGCATGGGGGGGGTGAAATGCAAACTGCACTGTCCTGTAGCCTCCAGCTGTCACTGCCTTCTCACTCAAGAGCAGCATTTGCAGACGGTCTCTGGGATGGAAAGATGCCTTCAATAAATTGCCTTAAATTTTGCTTACCTGGGGGTTCTTTTTTTAATGCAGAGCTCTCTAGCATTTGCTAAGGGTGGGTATGTATTACTCAAGAATGATCAATAAGTGCACTAAATGGTCTTTGTATAAATCAGTTGTCCCCTTTTTGCCCTTGAGGAATATTTTACCTTTATTTCAATCACTGTTAAGTGATACTGTTTCAGCAAATCAGGGAAAATGTAGTGTTTACACTCAGGGTTAGGTTATTGTCCTGATGTGGATGTACATGGGATAGAGAGGGCACAGGAATGTTCTTCCTTGTGCTAAAGCACTCACATAGTAACACCTTTCCATACTGCAGCGTAAATCCACCAGTGCAGATGTGCATCAGGTTATGGGAACCAGTAGTAATGGGGCTTTCTGGGTCCTTACACCTCACCAGAAGGTACAAACCTCAACCTTAGCACCATGCAGGTGGGTCCATACACTTCACCAGGAGGTACAAACCTCAACCTTAGCACCATGCAGAGTGAGCAGCTCCAGCCAGAGCATTAGGGTGAGAGCTGGTGAGACACAACTGGGTTTTTTACCAGATAACTTCTTCTGTGGTTCCATGGTGTCCAATCGGAACCATACTTCAGTTGAAATATATAATGAGCATAACTCTGTGCTGCTCTCTACAAGTAAGAAAGATGTGGAATATAGCAAATACCATTTACGGGTTGCTACCATTCTCTGTGCACTTTATACTTGAAAGCTAAATTACAGTCATGTGGTCCATATCGGGGTGGTTCCTTGGGGCCAGTCGGGATCAAGTAGGTGTGGAACAGCTGTTCTGGGGAACCTGTACCACCAGTATCCCCAGATTGCATTTGTTCCTGGTTAGTTTCCAGGTAGCATCCTAGACGCTGCTTTTGACCTGCATCAGGAGCTGGAGAAGCTTGTTATTTCTTTGAGAAAATGGTGAATAGCGTTACCATAGCTTGGTTTGATATGGACCAGAAAGACTCTTTGGCATGTCAACAGCTGAATTTGTTAACTTTCTACATGTACTGTGGTTAGTCTTTACTTATAGCTACTTAGGGAATTTGGAAGGTCTGAAGAGAGGGGATATACATATATCTGATCTTAAGTATGATATAGCTGTGCAGAGTGTCATACTTTTTGTGGAGTTAATGGGAAGCTTACATTTGTTAATTAAAATATCTTCATCGGGATGTATTTTAAATTTTCTGACTGCCATTTGATTTTGGGAGATATTTAGAACTTTGGATAGATGCTAAAAAGATTAATGTAGGTAAATACTGGAAGATACATGGTGTGATACTAGAAAATTAGCTGTGTTTTCCTGCTTTCTGAGTCCAAGTGCGGCATCAGCAAAAAAAAAAAGGAACAGAAATAGAGCTAGAAATTTTTCATAATGCATGTTAACTTCTACTGATCCACTCTTCCTTGTCCTGTTTTATGTATAGAAAATCTTTGCAAATGCCCTGCTACCAGCAGAAACAACTGTGAGCTGCAGAAACACGGACGTTGCATTTCGCTCATGAAAACAGGTACATCCCAAACGTCTGTGTTACCAGTTTACCAGAGCTGCTGCGTCAAATCAGTTCTATAGGTAAGGATAAAAAAAAATTAAACACTTTTTCTGTCCCAGGTACGCACTTGGCCTCTAAAGATGATGTAGATGGCACTTCCCAATGCAGCAGCACTTCATCCTCCAGCACGGCCTGTACCCCTCGCCTTGTGCCGGGCCATCGCATGTGGGCAGACAAAAACGGGCGCCACGTCCTCGGCCTGATTGAGGATTATAATGCTCTGAGGAAGCAGATAACAGAAGGACAACAGGTTGTAGCAGAAATGGAGATTTCTCTAAGAGAGGTGACTGGTACGAAGCTGCAGGAGCCTGGAATAAAGGTAAACAAACAGTGAGAGCTGTTAGAGGATGGTGGATTTTACCTAGAGGTGCAAAATGCATAGGTTACAAAAGCAAAAAGGAGGAGGTCGATGGTGCAGCTGGCACCACTGGCTGAATAACTCTTTCAGGACACCTCAACCTCCACAGTCCAAGTCTCATCTAGATGCAGGCACCTATTTGTGATTCTGTGTTAATGAGGCTACAGATAAATTCGTTAATTCTGGGCCTTTAGTAAGCAATCTCACTCTTCCTTGCAACTTGAAATGAGGTGAAACTACTGACTTTCACTATGGAAATTGGTGATCGTTACACTAGAAACAATTAAAAAGCCAAACAAAAGCAACAACAAACAACCCAGATAAAACTCTAAAATGCTTTAAAAAGGGCTTAAACTAGGGATATGTATCAGTAATCTAAGGATAAAAATAATTAAGGTGATTTTTTTGTAACAAAGACTTGGGTAAACCCAGGCAATATGAGACAGTTAAAAGAAATCTGATACACAACTGATAAAGTTCCTCACTTATGTATATTCAACCCTTCAGTAACACCAGGTGATAACTGTGCATTAATGATTCATTTATGCTAATGAAGATCGTTTCATATTAGAGAAGCTTTCTAATATTTTTCCACTTCCTGGTGTCAGTTGAACACTTTAGAAATATCAGTAGCTAGTCTAGAAACTTGATTATTTCATTTATGATCAAATATTGCCTTCTAAGACATAGCGTGGTGTCCTTTCTGCATCATGTGTGACACAGTGATGGCAAGTCATGTGCTCTTGCTGTAGTCTTAAAGGACAATTATTAAACCAATAAAGTGTTTGTCTTGAATAATGTCAGGCCTTTTCCTCTAGAATCAGGAGAAGAACTAGTGTTTACTTAACGCTATATTTTTTCTTATTTAATAATGTTAATTTCTGGATACAGTTAACAATAGCGTTTCTGGGGTTGATTAAGGCAAATCTACCTACAAGCTTCAACAAAAAGGAAGGAATAATCTGAATGTGTCTATGGCAGCTCATGAGGAACTAAGAAACTTAAACAGCAACAGGAAAGGCTTGGATCAGGCATTTAAAACAACACAGCAGTGATAAAAATAGTGAAACAGCAATGGATGGTGCTCAGAGACACTGTGACTGGGGGCGCTTTTAAGAACAGATTACAGCAATGTTTGAAAAATTCCATGTGGCACTGTCCTGCCTTGGAGTGGGAAAGTAAACTAGGTGACTAATGAAGGTCCTTTTCACCCCTATGATTTTATGATAGTATAAATGTTGTAAAAAACCATGCTCACTCTTCTTCAAAATCCAGAATGTCTCAACTACATGGATAAATTCACACTACTTATTTTTCTAGTTATAATTAGTAAAGGTATTGAAAATGCAGTCTGCAACAATTCTGAAATTCTTTTTGTGGTATCACATGTGTGCTCACACAGTAAAATTATGTCTGAATGACACTTAAGACTCTCTGAAGTATCATATATTTTCAAATGACCTAGTTAAGCTACTGATAATGACTGAAAAAGTAATCTCTCTGTAAGTTTTAAACTTGTTTTGTTGGTGTAAAGATAAAAGCAGTAAGTTTCACAATTTGCAGTTTCCTATCAAGCTTTACATCACTGAAGTTTCAAACTACTTAGCAAATGGGATATTTTATGTGACTGGAGGATTCTGGTTAGATAACAATGCTAAATAAGTATTCAAATTCTATGCTGCATGGGGCAGGAACTGCGAATGCTTTTCTTTCATTATCCTTCCCCCTTCTGTATCTCCATTGCTTTGGTAATTCATTTGCTCCCCTTGTATTCTTTCCCTCCTTTATTTCACATTTATGCAATTTCTTCAATTTGGTTTTCTCATCTGTCAGCAGAGGAAAACATTTTATGTGTGTCCTGATAGTTATTTTAGCATTAAATGGAACAGTTTAAAGGGTCTGCTAAGGAAGAAACATCTATATTGCTTAAATTGATGTCTGTAATCATTTGACTTTCAAATAACGTGACATGAAATGCAAATGGAGAGAGAAGAGAGTTGCCAACTATTACCATGTGGCGTAGCAAATCTAGTAAATGTAATCTATTATTAATCACGGTTATTGATTAGGATAAATCCCCTTCCTCCCTGAAATTCTTAGATAATGCATAATTCAGCACTCTTTGTAAACTAACAAATTAGCTTTTGTGGCACACAATAGCTGTGTGCATCATCTGAAATATGAAATCACACCAACTGGATTTAAACCATTAATTAAGATTACATTTTCATGACGTTTTAAGCATAAAACCTAATATGATGTCTCTATGGCTCTCATCCACCCATCTAGGTACCAGACCAGGCATCACTGTGTGGCTTTTCTGCCAACATTCACACAGTGCAGCAGATTTTAGAAGAAGCTGCTCGTTTACTGAAACTTCTCTGGAGAGTTTCCCTTCCGCTGAAACCCGTGCACGGTACCACTCACGGCACTCAGGTATTATTGTGGTTCTTTTGAGGGGGTTTTGTGGGGTTTTTTAACTGTTGTTGTGTGTCAAGGGTGACGTACCAGTTAGGAACAGGCCATTTGGGAAAATCTTTTAAAAATCATGAACCCAGGATGCCCAGTCTCTGGCCACATGGATTTAGTAGGTCTCACCACTGAAGGCTGAGGCTGAGTGTGTGCTGGCTTTCTCTCCTCATCATACCAAAGTCTTTATTTACAAAAGACTTTATATTAAAGATGTAATCTGTGACCCTGATACTCAGGAAACCCAGGCTGGTGGCAAACGTTCCATTTCATGGAGAAAAGGTTTGGGCTCCCTGTTCTAGAGCCAAATTCAATTTGGTTATTTGTCTACTGGTACCAACAGAAACTTCAGCAACTTTGATGTAATCTAAGCTACATTTTTCCTTTTACGTTTTTGATGCCTAAGCTGTAAAATTGGATGCTTTTTTAAAAGTGTGACAAAACCCCGAGACAAGTTTTATAACATTTTAACTAAAAAGGATTGCACTATGCAAATGAGTGAAAGTAAACCGAATGAGGAATGAATTATCTATACTGTCATAATACCACCACTCAGTAATGAAACTGTTTCAAACGCTGGCTTTAAAATAAATCTAAAGTGTTTTCACTGAGGTTTTTGTATGTGTTGCTTAAGGGAAGCAGGCTATTGCTGAAAAAAAAAGCCCCAATCTCTAGGAAAGTAAAATTTTATATATCATTTTAATAACATTTTTGGATGTTATTTCCTAGCATCCTTAATTGCATAAAATCACAAAAGCAGTAAGAGGGAACTGTGCTGTCTAATATATTCACTGGTGTGTCAGCTCCATGTTTGGGATGTCTTGACAAGTGTGTGTCCTTCCATTTTCATCCTCATGTACCGTCTGTACAGACAGCTACACACACACACACACACACACAGCTCTCCGTGTGGGGGTGATGCACCTGATGCTTTACTGTCACACTGATCTGAACCTTCTTGGTCTGGATCAGTCATTTCTTGAAAATATCTCACCTCAATGTGGGGGGGATCTGAGTTCCCAGGAGTGCATCTAATTAGAGCCTAATGGAATCTTTTCTGGAGTTTCTTATCCAACATCTGAAGATCTCAAGGATATCAGATGGCTTCTGATGTCCTAAATGCAGTAATGGAAGAACATCTCTTGAAAAGATACTGAGCATTCACTGCCTTCTCTTCAGCCCCACAGGAGCTGTGAGTGATCAGTTCTGCTGAAGAGCTAAATGCTTGGGGCAAATTCCAGAAGACAGGATTATTTAACATGTGCCACAACAAGAAAAAAAAATATCTACAAGCTTAAGTTTGTGTGAGGATCCAGATGAGAGATTCCAGCAGACTGTGCCAGGGCTGCTCACAGGACTGTTTTACCAGGTGCTAACTGTAACCTGGTTGGAATTGGTGGAGAAAACTGAATCTTAAATAATGATACTGCCAAATAATTTTGCATTAAAACTCTCCTGGTCACTCGTGCAATGCCTCTTAGCCCTTTGATAAAGGCAGCATCAACTCTTAAGAGAACACAGGAGAAGAAATCTGTGAACCAGGCAGACAGGACACTTGCTGATCCCATAGCACTGTCCTTCATTAGATTTTTTTTTTCCAGTTGAGGCAATTTAAAAAAAAGAAGAGAGGAATAGAAGTTTCAAAACAAAACCAGGCACTGGTGTTAAGACTTTTCTCAGACAAACAGAAAAATTAATAAAAGCCAGCTAAGAATTGTAGTTGTCTCCTGTCAGATGTCTCTGTGTGTCACTGGGGATGTGGAAGGACAGGCTCTCAGTGACGTTTCACTCCTTTAAGTTGTTCATACTCTAAGGAAGCTTGAGGGCACTTCTACAAAAGTATTTAGCAATTCACAACGTACAAAGTACTTTTATATAATACTTCAATATGCTATTTTCTTAATCCAGGATGAAGGAATGAAGGCAGAAGTAAATATGCTATTTTCTTCTCTCAATCCAGGATGAAGGAATGAAGGCAGAAGTACTTAGATTGCGTAAGAAACTGTCTGAGCAGGAGAAGAAGTTACACAGCGCCGTGAAACGCTTGCACTGCACCAACCAGCTGAAGGAGAACATGGAGAAAGTCATCATCGACCAGTGTAAGTGTATGCTTTATTACCAGTTCCTTTTTTTAATTTTTGTGGTCCTCTAGAAATTGGAGAAACAGCAAAATGACTGTAGGCACCCTGTTCTGTAGTCGCTCCTTGTGTGCGCTCAGTGGTTAGTGACAAACACTTCATGAGGTTCAGACTGCACAGAACTGGTGGAGCCTCAAAGAAGTTGCCCAACTCCGAAAGGCTGCCTAGAACATCATGAGAAGCAATATTTGGTTTTACACAACCCACAGATGATGTGTCAATCCATGCAGCTGGTGCTAATTGCCACTAATTACTTCAGTTACTCCATTTCAGGTAGCGCCATTCCCCAAGTTTTCTAGCCTGTGATGGTTCCTGAAAAGTTACTGTTGCTGTACGCCATTCCTGCCAGATTTTTTGACATTGTCCTTCTCAAAATTGTGATTTTTGCCTCAATGTTGATAAATGTGGAATTAGGCTTTTAGATTTTGTGAGGTGCTGGTCTGTTGCGTGTATCACACGGCAGCCGCACACTGGGAAATGCCAAAGCAGCAGCAAAGGAGATTTGTCAACCCTTTACACCAGACTGAGAAGTGTAAGAGAACAGAAGGCTCAGAAAAAGGGAAACAAAAGCTTACTATGAGTCATTTTTTAAAGAAAAATAGAGACATGCTGTGGAATATTTTACTCTTAGCAGCCATACCTAGAAAATTATCTGGAAACATGAAACCAAGGGGGACATAGGCTGTGTTAAACCAAGTGTCTGAAGAGACCCGGGGCTGTATTGTAGCTGTGTTAAACCAAGTGTCTGAAGAGACCCATCCCTTCTGCTTTAGAGTTTAATCACTCATCAGAAGGGATCTGAATGGATCCAGACTCTTCTCTACCTTCATGCTAGGGGAATGTGTGTATTGCTGGAGGAGGATTTAATTTTCTTAGAGAAAATAATAGTCTATCCTTACCTTCTCTTAAGAGGTGGGACTAAATGACTCATTAGTCTGTGCTGGAATGGCACCTGTGTTATCAGTAATTCAACTATACTGTAAAATGTTACACATCATACAAAGTTATGAAAATGGCCATGATGCTATAAGTTACTCAAGTCACTTAAATGCAATGTAGAGGAAGAAATGTTATTTTGCTCCATAGCCTGTAATTTTTATATCTAAGGTACATGGATCTTCTGCCTGCAGATTATTTTAAGCATTTATGGGTTGGATTTTGTTGTATCAAATGATGTACAAGTTACTTATATTAAATCCAAAATTATGTTTTGTTCAGGTTTTAAAGTTAAATAGCTCAGTTCAGAATTGTCATATAAAAACCAAAGCTATTGTATTATGTCTGTCCTAATAGTATCCCCAGGGTAGATTTACTGGGTTAGTCTGGTCAGTCCCTAGTTCCAGTGATGTCTCAGACACAGGGGGTGATTTCAGTAGAGTTGGGCAGAGTATAAATCAACAGAGATTTTTATCCTTATGGCCAAAATGTTATCCCCAAGGCCACTCCACCCACCCATACTTATCAAACAGGAAAAAAACACATCTCCCCCTTATTTTGCTCACTCCTTTTCAGGGTGTTGAACCTCATCTGAACTGAGTCCTGGTAGAATGAAGCCTGCATTTTCTGAAATCTCCTTAATGCAAAGCACCGCGTGGCGAGCAGCAGCTTCACTATTAGTGTCACATCTTCTAAATTCTCTTCATGTACTGAATTTAATCTTTTTGATTTAGAAAAATCTAGTTTGCCAGGTGAAATGAATTTACTAGCAGAGCTCTTTATGAGCAGAGTGCACTCTGCTACACAGAAAGACCTAGGTACGATTTTCTGTAAGTTTCATTGATTATGGGAATTATGGATGTCAAGTTACTTTTGCCTTAAAGAGCAATTTTAGAAATGTTTCTAAATTGCATCCGTACACAAATTCCTGACCAAACATACAACAAAACTGATGAATCATGTGAAGCTGCCGGGTTTTGTTAGGATGCTTACACTTGTTATTTCTTCCTCTCTCCTTTTGCCAGTAAGAAAGCAAAGGCATCGCAGTAGGTGACCTTGCCTGCCTTCATCCTCCAAACATCCTGTTAGCTGGCCACTCCTCTGAGGATATTCAAGTTGCCTCTGTTATTTAGTTGAGCATTCCTAAATATATTTAGAAGCAGAGACTGGAACATTCTTGTGGCTCCAAGTCTTCTGTGTGCTTTCTCTGGCGAGAGAACTCATTGCTTCTAAACCTCATCTGAACCTCAGAACATGTAACAATGCGCTGCCAAATTGCAGTAATCTGCCAAGGGTATAATTATCTCATGACAGCTCTACCCTTGGAGTTGTTGGGTTCTTATTATTGTAATGAAAAATCTTTATTATGGCTAAATTGTTTATTTTTGAGACTGGAATATTAAATTGGTACTTGCGAGTGGTATTTTTCAGCAGTTATGGAGCTGACACAGATTAGAGAATCACATATTTAACCTGACATTTCTAAATAGTGGTTTTGTTTAGAAGCAGCCCCTCCTCCCTTCACAGGTCTTGCGCTGTCCCCGCAGAGACAAACAAGCTGGATGAGTAGAGAAAACTTGGACTCCTTCAGAGCAAACTGCTGACATGATTTCCCTTTAGCATCTATAGGTTGCTTTGTCCTTGAACCTCCGGAGGAGCTGGCTGACTTCTTTTGCCATCTGTCCTATTCCCACCCCTCATCCCCCATAACCTCTCACTGCACAATTTTTCTCCCCCTCTTGCTAACCTTCCCCCCCAAGATAGATCAATAGATGGATCAATATTAATAATAATAGATCAATTGTAGATTTCTCACTCACCACCTCCCCTTAAAATGAAGAGAAACTCTTCCAGTACTGACTTAGATCAAGGGAACGTTTGTTGGTTGCCTGGTCACCGCCCATAGTGGATATTTGAGTTCATATGTTATTAAATATTTGGTCATAAGGTCCACACAGGGACTATGGAAAGACTCTGCAGCATTGTTTTTCATCTCCTCTTTCTTTTCCAGTGGTTTTGACTCACGATGTCTTAAAGAAGGCAAGAGGAAACCTGGAAGTAAGTTAAATTTTTGCTCGCATTAAATTCTGTGGTATATACTCATTAGAAATATGCCTTGCTGTGTCAGGAGTATTTTGCAGAATTAGTCTGTTTTGCTTTAGGTTTGCTACCTAATCATGCCTGGGTGACAGCAGTTTAGTATGATAAATAATCTCCAATGTTTGATGGTTAAATTAGAGTTTTATGACTGACCACATAAACAGCTAAGCCTCTTTTCTGACACTTTGCCTAGATTAATATTCACGTCTGTCATCTTCTTCCAGGAGTTTATTTTCAGCAAATCACAGTCCAATAACCTGTCTGCTGAACAGGTTCACAAAAGACACCCTTATTTTAAAAAAAAAAAAAAAAAAAAAAAAAAAGACCCAATAGGCAAAGCTTTTGCAAACAGCTATTTGCTAATGCAGGGTATTAAATTAGTTTGAGTGTTTAAGTAATCACTGTTCAGATTTGATTTCTCCCAGAAGGTTCAGACTTTACTCCCAGAAGGATGTAATACACTTCTTGACTCCTAAATCCCATCCTTTTCCTCACTCCCCTCTTTTGCAGCTTCATGGTGCAGGGGTAGGGACAAATTATGAGCATTTAAAGTCCTGTAAAATAATAATAATTGCTGCTTTTCTAACCAGGTCCCGCCAGCTGAGAATCAAAAATCACCTTCCTGTACCAGCAAAAAGAGGATTATCTGAAGGAGAAAGTTCTACCAGTAGAGACCGGTCCTGTGATTGTTGTTTGCTTCTTTATGCCTTACTATTTATTGATGTAAAAAACATTTGTTCAGCTCTTTTAATGGAATCAGCCTTTGACCAAAAAAAAAAGACGACAAAAAAAGAAAGCTTTTGGTAAATAACTTATTTAACATTTTTCTGTAATGTAAAAGATTGTTTTTAATATTTATTACTGAAGCAAGGTACTGGAGGGATTGAAGAAAAATCCAGATTTTTTTTAAAGTTAGCTCATTTGAATTTTTATATTTGTACTTGTCATGTCATAAAACTATTTGTGTGTAGTCAAACAGGTCCTGAAAGAATCCAAAATGTGATTCACCTTCCAAACTCTTTCTCTACTGCTAAAAGAATGTAGGTTAAAAAAAAAAAAGAATTCTGCCAGTTGTCATTGTTTTGTAGCAATGTGAGAGATGTTTAATATTTTAAAGCATTTTAAACATAATGGAAAGATTCTTCTGGAATTCAGAAGAACCATTGAGCTTTCTTACTGCCCTGTTAGAAACATAGGTTGATGCTAGGTCTGAAAGTATTACTTCAAATCAGACAATTAAAAAGAAAAGTAATCAGAAATGTGTTTGTGCTGTTTTGGGGGGCATCGGGAAGAGTGTGATCAGCAGGTGGAGGGAGGTCATCCTGCCCCTCTGCTCTGCCCTGGGGAGGCCCCATCTGGAGCACTGGGTCCAGTTCTGGGCTCCCCAGTTCCAGAAGGACAGGGAACTGCTGGAGAGGGGACAGCAGAGGGTACAGAGATGAGGAGGGGCCTGGAGCATCTCCCCTTTGGAGGAGAGGCTGAGGGTCTGTTTAGTCTGGAGAAGAGCAGACTGAGGGGGGATCTGATCAACACCTGTAAATACTTAAAGGGTGGGTGTCAAGAAGATGGGACCAGCTTTTTTCCAGTGGTGCCCAGGGACAGGACAAGAGGAAACAGGCACAAACTTGAACATAAGAAGTTCCACCTAAACATGAGGAGGAACTTCTTTCCTGTGAGGGTGGCAGAGCCCTGGAAGAGGCTGCCCAGGGAGGTGGTGGAGTCTCCTTCTCTGGAGACATTCAAACCCACCTGGAGAGGTTCCTGTGCAACCTGCTCTGGGTGGACCTGCTCTGGCAGGGGGATGGACTGGATGATCTCCAGAGGTCCCTTCCAACCCCATAGCATTCTTTGTAGGTGTCAGCGGGAGGGTTGGCCATATTCCATCCTGCCCCACAGCCATTGTGCCTGGGAGCTTTTAGTAAAGAAAAACAACAATAAAGCCCTTACCTTCACCCCAAGTGCTGACCTCTGGTCCATCCCCAGGGACTGAAAGCTCAGCGAGGAGAGGCCGTTGTCTGTAGCAGACGGCAGGGGGAGGCAAATGCGTTCGTCTGGATTAGAGGAAAGATGCCAGAAAAACTGGAAAAGTTAAAAATAAACTTTGCAAATTGCGAAGGGGGGGTGGAGGCAGAGGAAGAGCATGCAGTCAGACTTGTTCTTCAGTCTCTTCACACATTATTGTCCTCACAGCTCACTAAAAACGTCAAGTTAATTTTACTAAGTAGCTAAATTATAGACACTCAGATGTAATCAAAATCCGCTATACATTTCAACTTTCAAAATTAATCATCCTACGTTTTTGAGTTACAACACCTGAAGGGAACAGCTGTACATCTATATATAGTACACCCATGTCTCCTGGTCGTCTTACAGCCTTTTTTCCCCCCCAACACCATCTGTACTTACAAATAAATAAATAGATAAATAAAATGTTTCCCTTTCCTGAGACGATTTGCCACTTACTCCTCAATGGTCCCTGTTGTGCCCTCTTGGAGCTTCTCCTGACCCCTTTTTTCCTTCCCATCAGCTCCTGTTGCTGCTTCCAGGTCACAGCAGAGCAGGAACGTGGTCACTGCTGGGATTTGCTTAACCAAGGGGGAAAAAAAATAATGTAATATATCATTACCTCTTTAAAAAGAGAGGATTCTATGAGATCAAAGTATTTCATCTTAATGAGAAGTGCCTTTTAAACACACACAATTTACTGGGCTGGTTTAAAAATAATTAAAAAAAAAAAAAGCTTACCAGATGGAGGGCTGCAGAAGACAAAGCTTCTGGAGTGTTAAACTTTGTTCCCATTAAACAAAATTAAATTTTCCTTTAAAAAAATAATTGTGCATGGGGAAAAGCAGCCGTGTAAGCAAATGGAATTAGAGGAGGAGCTCATCTGCTTCACGAGTTCCTGCCCGTGCTTTAGCTCCGTGCCCAAGATGATCTGGGACATCATGGAGAGGAGGTCGGGAAGGAGCATCTGAGCAGGGAGACCCCTGGGGCTGGTGGCTTCACCCGTGACCTTGAGCTTCTCGGCTCTTCTCGGAGGCTTCCAGGCAGCACACGGGCTGTGGGCTGTCTCCAGCAGGCTGCTGGAGGCCTGTGACATTAAGGAAAAAAGCAGGATAAATTAGAAAAAAAAGGCAACAGACAGCTTTTTCCTCGTCTTTAGGGCCCCTACAACATGTGCAGCTTCACACCAGCGCTGAATAAAGAAAATATTTAGTGAACCCAGGGCAGAGCAGCACGTTCTGGATCCACACGGGCACCCGGTGCTGCCGCCATCCCCGTGGGGCTGGGGACCAGCCTGGTCCTCACCTCTGCCCGATGGAACAGACAGAAATAACAGTCAAAAAAAAAAATCACAGGTGGGTGGTTGTATTAAAAATAAATCAATGCTAATGCATTCAGGCGTTTAAAAACAAAAGCGCAGCAGATCTGTGTGGTATTTGAATCTCCACAAAAGCTGCCGGGTCCATTTTTTTATTCTTTTTTTGGGGTGGGGGGCTGTGGGGTGAGGGTGAGGCTTTGGGGGACCCTGTCTGCCGGGGCAGAGGGATGGGTCCTCACGGGGACATGTCCTGAAGAGCTGAGCAGAGGGCAATGCACCCGCTCGACATTTTGGGTTTATTTTTAAATGCTCCCGACCCAGACGGAAAGTAAATCCTGTCATCGCTTCCAAATCCAACAGAAATGACAATATGGGAAGAAAAAATAGAAAAAGAAAGCGGCGACGCTCATCGGAATCCTATTGACAGCACAAAACCCCGATTTACAGGCAACCAAAGCCCAATCCTGGCTCACCCCGGAGGGAATCTGCCTGATGCCCCGGGTGCCTGGAGCTTCTCCAGCCCCGCTGGCCTGGGGGTGAGGCAGCTCTGCCACCAGCAAGACCACCTGCAAGGTCCCACCACAGCAGTGCCCCCAAGCCCCTACAGCCCCTCGTATTAAAGCCCTGTGACATATGGGTACTGCTGCTGGCCAGGGGTGTTTGGCCATCACAAAGCCCAGCACATTGGGGTAATTTCCCTAGAATCACAGCATCACCTGGGTTGGAAGGGGCCTTTCAGCTCATCTAATCCAAGCATCAACCCAACACCGTCAAGGCCACCACTGACCGTGTCCCTCAGCACCACATCTGCCTGGCAAGCCCAGCACATTGGGGTAATTTCCCTAGAATCACAGCATCACCTGGGTTGGAAGGGGCCTTTCAGCTCATCTAATCCAAGCATCAACCCAACACCGTCAAGGCCACCACTGACCGTGTCCCTCAGCACCACATCTGCCTGGCTTTTAAATCCCTCCAGGGATGGTGACTCCACCACTTCCCTGAGCAGCCTCTCCCAGGGCTTGACAACCCTTTACAGTGAAGAATTTTTTCCTGATATCCATCCTGAACCTCCCCTGGCACAACTTGAGGCTGTTTCCTCCTGTCCTATCACCTGTTCCTCAGGCAAACAGACCATCACCCACCTCCTCGTGTCTGTAACAGCTCAGAGAAAAGCTGCCTGAATAACGCTAATACCCCGGGAGTGTTTCCCCCACCACCACCCCTTTCCCTTCCTGACCTGGTCCATCACCACCTTGGCTCCAGGTCCATCTCTGAGCCTGTCTGGCAGCCACTAGATGGCAAAAGCAGGTCGTGCTGGTCACCCAGCCATGGGAGCGACGCTGGACCAAGCTGTGTGGAGCCAGCACTTACCAGTGACCGTGGCTCCACGTTTCTGCTCCTGCTGGTCTCACACATCTCCTGCTCGCAGGAAAGCAAAATAAACCCAAACACACCTTGCTGGGTCTGGCCTTGGCACGTTGCTGCAAATAATATTAAAAAAAGATGAGATTTGGAGCCAGGGTTTACTGACTTCATTACTTAAATGAACCCAACTCCCCCCCCACCATCCCAAATAGTTCTTAGGATGTGCCCTACATGGAACCACAACGATCCAGAAGCCGCGTTGGCATCAAGGTGCAATTACCAGCAGGTTTGGTGGTGCTTTGATGCAGTTGTGGTGCTGCCCTTTGCCCACAGGTGAACCCCCAAGGTCCTCTTTGGGGGCTGTGGCTTCTTGAGGAGGAAGCTCCCAGGGGTGCTCCATCCTGGGCAGGGCACCACGGGCAGCCCAGCACCAAACCACTGCCCTGGGCTCACTCCCCAGGGGGAAGCAAAAGCAGAGCAAACCCCATTTGCTCCTAAAATACCTTGTTTTTCTTCCTCCTCTCCACAGCAAAGCTGGACATCATGCAGGACCTATGGTCGAGCATCCAGGTTCCACACCAGGCACCGACCACGGGGAGGGAAGGGCTCTCAGAGAGGGGTGACGGGCGGCTGCCTCTCCCCCAGGGAGTAATTCAGATTTATCCAGGAGCAAAGTGTGTGTGTGGAAGGACACTGGTCACACTCCACGCCTTTTTTCAGAAGAAGAGGCTGCAGCATGTGTTTGTAGAAAACATCCTTCACCGTGAGGGGAGGCCACATCCCTCTGCTTCTCCAGGCTCCAGGGCAATGACTGGCAACAGCAGGAGAAGCCAAGGCTGCTCCAGAGCTGGTGACACCAAAGGAACAAGAAAGATTTCAAATCACTTGAGTAGCCCATTCCCATCCTTCTGGCCTCCTCATTATCATCCTCCCACACACAACATCTCTGATGTGCCACTCGCACAAAATCCAGTTTCAAGCATCAGTGCGGAGTTACAGCACGTCTCTGCAAACCAGCAAATTGAAAACACTAAATAAACCAACAAGTAATCTCTCTTCCTACCCATCCACTCAGGAGGTCACTCCTCTGGTAACTTCCCAGCATCACAAAAATCAAGCCCTCGGACACCCCCGTCCCCCCAGGAGCCACGGTCCCTGCTGCTGCCCCTGCCCCGTCCTGTGCTCAGACACCCCCGTTCCCCCCGGAGCCTCGGTCCCTGCTGCTGCCCCGTCCTGTGCTCAGACCTGCAGCTCCCCCCTCCCCGACCACACAACCTCTAATTAATGAATCGACCCCTCTCGAGAAATGCCCTGCACGCCCATTTTTTGTATGTTTATCTTGTCATTTCTTTAGAAGGATACTTGTTCCAATATTTCCCCCCCAACCCAGCCCAGTCAGAGGAATCTACTCGGGTAATTTGTAGGAGCGGGTTGCTGGGCCATGCATTATGCATGAGATGCAATCTTTATTTTTGCACTCTGCTGTGTGCATTCTCAAACAGGAACGGCGCCGCGTGCCCGCACGCAAAACGAACATTAGCAGCTCAAAAAAAAAAAAAAAAAAAAAA